TCTGTGTGCTGTGGTTCGTTGCCTGGACTATTTGCAGAGTGTTGGTAGAATATAAATGAAAAAACATGGCAGAAAAAAAATTTGGGGCATATGGTCGGGATGGGAGTGGGGTTCGATGTGGTAGAGTTGATATCGTGCTGGTTTCTCAGAAATCCAGACCATTGGGGTCGCAAGAAAACTATATGGGGTCGCACGTTGGATCCCCAGCGAAAAGGAAATGGAAGGGTCGGCTCCATGCGCCTTAGGGAATTGGGGTGTAGGTTACGGAAGTGCAGCGATGTGATCTAGGCGTTACCCTCCTTCTATGCCGCTTCATCCTGAAGGGGCCATAGCCAAGGACTCTGGGCTCACTAGTCACCATCCATTGCTTTGGTGCCTGTCCTTCATCGGGGGTGTGAATGAAAACAAAAACAGTCGGGTGTGTGGGTTTTGAAAGCACAGCGATGCAACCTAGGCGTTACCCTCCTTCTATGCCGCTTCGGGCCATAGCCAAGGACCTGGGCTCACTAGATGCCATCCATTGCTTCAGTGTCCGTCCTCCATCAGAAATGTGTGAAATGAAGAGTTCCCTGAGTGTACCCAGCGTCTCAGAGAGTCGGATGAGTGAGCCAGCGAAGGCGCAGCGATGTGTCTTGGGCAACTACCCTCCCTCTATGCCGCTTTATCCTAAAGGGCCATAGCCAGGGATCTGGGCTCTTCCTCCAATCGGCATCCATTGCCTCCGGTGCTCACCATCCATCCAAAGAGAATGAAGGGTGAGCAACCTTCGGTTGCGGAACTCAAAGTCGGTGTCGTGAGGAAAAGAGTGTGTAACGGTTGGGTGGGGGAAAACAGTGGTGTGGCGTAACTCGGCCACCGGAACTCTATGCACCATGCATAGAAGCGCAGCCTGCACCCAGCTCTGAGACGGTCCAAGCCTACCTTGGCTTTCTGGGACAACAGAGGCTGGTGGAGGCGTGAGGTTAAACCCTTCTTCTACTGTCAGGATCCGGACCCCAGCTGGGAGTGGCCGGAGGGCGAGGCTGGGTGTGGAAGCTGGGGTACTCTCCCCGGGTGCTAACTCCTCGAAGTCGCTGAGGGGACTGGCCTCAGCCTTCACAGGGGGCTGAGAAGCTTACCCTTCTTCTCAGCTCATTCCCTGTGAAGGCTGAGGCCAGTCCCCTCAGCGACTTCGAGGAGTTAGCACCCAGGGAGAGTACCCCAGCTTCCACACCCGGCCTCGCCCTCCAGCCACTCCCAGCTGGGGTCCGGATCCTGACAACTTCATAGTGAACAAGCTGTCCCACCGATGGACAGGCTGCCCCCAGCGAAAATCCGTGTCTGAATGATCAGACATGCTCATTCCTGCCCAGTTCATGGGCCATGCTTCCATTCTGTCACTCATATGGACAGAATGACCTCTCTACTCTCCTAGATGATTATCTAGGGAGGAGCAGGTCGCTGCTCAGACCTCTGGCCCACATTCAAGTGTGGCAGAAATTTTTTTCTTATTTTTTTAACCTAGATTCCTAGGTTGAATTTTCAACTACTCCCCCAGACAACTGTCTAGGGAGGAGAAACAAACCCATGCCACTCTTTAGTGGTTATCTTTGTGGGTCAGCATCGCGCTGACTCATATCAACTATTATTTTACTCCCAGACAACACTCTAGGGAGGAGCGGCCTCAGTGACCTTTGGAATCACTGGCCATCACCAGGGGTATTGACCTTCGGTGAGTTACCTGTGTCACCGGAGTATCAACCTTCAGGTGTGGAATCACTGGCCATCACCGGGGCATTGACCTTTGGTGAGTTACTTCCATCACCGGGGCATTGACCTTCGGTGAGTTACTTCCATCACTGGAATATCAACCTTTGGGTTGACTGCTTCATCTCTTGCTCAACCCTGCAGTGGACCAATTCAGGTGTCACTGCCCTTTCTCATCAACAACAATGCTGTTGTTGATTCTGTTCCTTTACTCTAGCTTGTCATATTGACACTTGCTACTTCATTGTCAACAACACTGTCATCGAGATCTGGGTACATATGTTCCAGGAGAAACTCTAAGTGGGCTTTGCCTACAAACTACTACTATAGCCTCCTGCAATGAGTGTACCCCCGCTTGCATACATTCTTCGTATGTAGAGTGTTATATTTCCTTAATATGCTTGCTTTCCCTTTCATATGCTTTTACCCTGTCTGCGATTCAATATTGCAAGGGAGGAGGATGTAAGGGATTAACCTTACTTCACTATAATTCCGATTATAGTGATATCATTATGTTGCATCGCTATAATTCCCATTATAGTGATGCTATTATTTCTTTATTTATTTGCGCTGAAGGAGCGGAGCTGGATCACCTTATGTAACCAGTTTCCTACGTCCAATAACGATATAAGAGTTTGTGCTGATTTGCATACTGACCATGTTTTGGTTGCCAAATATATAATTGTTCACTGTCTAAACAACAATAAACACCCCCCAACGATCTCACCTGACGTATAGATCGTCTACAGATAAAATTCTATATTGACTTTACTATGATTTCTAGTCAATATTACACCTAGATATACCACTTTTCAGTAGGATGTGATTTTCCTGATAATTTACTGAAGGAAAACTACTAATAAAATAATTCTGCAATAAATACAGGAGTGACCAAACTGCTCTTTCTATCGCTTAGAGTGCGTGCTAGTTATCTAGCAGGTTCAGGATCGCTCACTTTTCTCCTGTGGTGTGATAACCAAGTATTGCTGAGAGATTATTCAATTAAGAAGTCCCTCCACCAAATTCTCACTAATTCTCACTATGACACTTTTGTTCAGCTGTGTCTAACTGACCCTAACTCACGCTTAGAGTGATGTGTTAGTTTTATATTAGCTAACAACTAATATTTGCTTTTATCTTTTGGAGCAAATGAACCAACCACTGGTGAGGAGAATTAAACTTTTATTTCTACCCAAGGTTTGAGAGGGGGCAGAAGCGGCGGCCTTTTATGCTTTTCAGAGGCCTCTCTACTCCCATGCCTCGCACTAGTTACATGTGCTACATTTGTATTATAGATAGTTCTAGAATGATATAGGGGCTTGGGCTGTGTAAGCTTAATAATGGACTTAGGACATGACTCAGCAATAAGTAATTCATTTCTTTGTCTTTTGGGCCGATCTTAGCGGGATCTTGTAGCGCTGAAGCTATGCTCTACACCGCCTTAATTACAAACGGTTATCTTTAGAAATGACTCAGCTATAAAGGAACTTTCTAGACTGTTCTCTAATTGACCCCTTTTTGTGAAGCTGCATCATTACTAATGTTCTAGAGCCTTCCCAATTAATTAACTGATCCACGGACTTCTGAATCACTTCATGCTTATGATCCGAGATCCAGATCATCAATCATTCCTTTGTTCCGAGTTATTTGAGCTTAAAATCAAAAAGTTTTGATGAATCATGGGAAAATATACAAGATCCGGTGTTTTAGCATTTTCTCCTCTTCTGATGCGATCAAAAACTGTCCGCCCGCGCCGGGGAATACTCTATTATATGGTATTCGGTCCGCCAGACTTCCGGGCGCCAATATATTTCCCTTGAGTCACATTACTTTTTGTAAGAATTAGCAAATAAATATATATGAATTATAAGGTGTTTCGCCGTTTGAGCAATATCTCCGTTAGTTTTGAAGCTTTTAGAATGAAACAAAACCGTGGATAAAGTTAAGAAACAGTCCTTTCAGATGGTAAAAAGATTACAGTCAAAAGTTTACTGGTTTTCGAGATATTTACATTTCCTTCCCAATGTTCCTTCTTATTCTGCCGTCTATGTGCTATTTTCTTGTTGTAGGGATATATTCTTTGAATATTACACCTATGCCAGGTTCTAGGCATGATTGTAGTAGGTTAAATCTCATGCTACATGGGTGTAGATAATTTATAATGATCTTCTAATGTCTGTCCAGTCTCATAAAGATCATGAGATCTGTTAAACGTCTGAACTTGTCACCTGTTCGTTGACTATTCTGATAGATCATTGTTTTATTCTTTGAATATTATTTCTCCTACAGCGCCGAGATATGTAATTTACATATATATACCTCGGAGTAGTTGTAAAGGCCCAGTAGCCTTTTACCTCTACCCTGTTGAATATACAGCACATTTAAGCTTATATTTAGACGGACTAACTGAGGCCTGAGGCAAACAGGGGAACAGAACGTTACCGTCCCCAAATAAGTAAGCAACCTTTCACATGTCCTCTGCACAACATCTAAATCGTGATCAATTACGTCATCTGTTGTTCACTCACATTGTTGCCAATTCTCCTTGTGACTTCAGTCTTCAAGCTCACCCTCAGCATCCTGCCCAACCACACTGTCGTGCACTTGCCTTATCTGCAGCACAACTCAATGTCCATCGCTCCCAATTTCTCTCTGCTGTTGCCTCCGCAGATCTCCGCAGTGCATGTCTTCGTCGTTTTGTTGCACAGTTCTCTTTGCCCATTGAATCTGATGCAGATCTATGGACCATTCATCACAGCATTGTTCAGCTTGTCTCACAATCTGCACCCTCTTCTGATGTTGATGCTTACCAACAATGGCACCTCCAGTGTGCAGCCCATTGGCCTGAAACACTCATGTTGGCTACGAAGCAAAAGATTCTGAAACAGTACTACTCTCTAACTTCCTCCCAACAGCTCTCCACTTTGGTTTGCGCTGTCTGTGCAGCTGCAAAACCCTCGCAGGAATTCTTGCCAAATCCTATGGAGTTGAGTGGTTACGACACCGACTTGCTGCTTGGTGTATGCCCCAACCAAGCCCCGAACCCATTTGCAAATACACCAGCCCTGAACCACATTATGATTTGTCCTGAAGGTGTTGTTTCCGACCACAATGGTCACTTTACACTCCAAGTCTGTCTCAGTTGTCACTGTGCATTGAGGCGACACCAGTTACCTCCCACTGCAATAGCCAATGATCTGTACTTTGGTCCCATTCCAACTGAACTCCGTGAGCTTACTCTAATTGAAGAAGCTCTGATTGCCCGACGCCGTGCTAAATCGTGGATCATTCACCTTCAAGATGATTCTTCACCACTCTCTCACACCACCAGTCCCACATTAGGTGCAACACTGCCTATGTCCCAGAGAGCTCTCAAAGGTCATGTCATAGTGTTTCCAGCCAAACCTGAGGCCCTCTCCCCATTTCTTCCTCCTCCCCTCCAGAATGTCATCACCCTGATCTGTATCATTTTTGTCAGAGCAACCACTCCATCTAAAGATTGGCTCCTAAAAAATGCCCATCCACTCGTTGTCTGGCATGAGAAGGTATGTGCTGCCCTTCAATGGCTCATAACACACAACCCTTTGTATGGTGATGTTGTTTTAGACGAAGAGGAACTTGGTTGCCTTCCTTCTTCGGATCTCATGCCTGTTCCCCTTCATGTACAACAACCCACAGATGCCATATGCACCCCTGGTTCCCATTATGATAATCTAGATTCCCATCCGACCCACACTCCCTCTGATCCCAATGCAATAGCCCTACAGAATGTGGTGGTCACGGACTTAGACATGCGGGATGCGAGTACTGCTCAGATTACTGCTGCTGCCATTCGCCATCTGAAAAGGCCACATGGGGGTATTGGAGGGCACATTGAGGTGAAGCATGGTAAAGACCTGGTGAATCACTACACGGACCCTCATTTGCTTCCACTATTGTATCCAACCTTATTTCCATATGGTGTTGGTGGTTACCATCGTGGGTGTCGTACCCCACTTAGCTTGGAAAAAATGGCAGCTCATTTATTCTCACTGGCTGATCGCCAATTTCAAGAGCACTATTCCTTCTTGTTCATGATTTTCAATATTATTCAGCATCAAAGAACATCACTACACTGCAAACTGAAAATGAGTTATGCATCCTTTGAAAGGGTAGCCAATACAATTGTTAACCTACCCATTGACACTTTTGACATCATCCTTGACAGATTGTCTCGAAATGATTATACAACAGCAAACACTCCTGCAGAGTGGACTGCCAGGAAGCTCCTGCAGGATGTGTCTGTAATCAGCACAAAAGTGCTGGGTTCACATGCTGCTCACACTCAAATGCGAAATGAGATCCAGGCTCTCATCTTCGATCGTGGTCCACCCAGTTTCTTTGTTACCATTAATCCCACTGATGTTTACAACCCCATTGTCAAATTTCTGTCCCACAGCAATTTTGATTTGGATGATGTCTTACCAGCCCACGTTCCATCCTATTGGGAACAGGCAACCACCGTCACCCAGAATCCATTCATTGCTGCTCACTTCTTCAAAACTGTCATCCACGCATTCATCCAAGGCATTTTGGGGCACACTCAGACCGATGGCATTTGTGACAGTGGTATCTTTGGCCCTTGCAGTGCATATTATGGAACTGTGGAGGCTCAAGGTCAGGGAACACTCCATTGTCACATGCTCATCTGGATTGAAGGGGTGCTGAATCCGCAGCAGATCAAAGACCATGTCCTCAGAGCACATGACTTTCCTTGGCACCAAAGACTACTAGATTGGTTGGATGACACGATTAGGACCAACCTCCCCCCTGCACCCCAAGATGTAGAATGCACCTCTGATGTGTTTCATGCCTGTAGCCTTCGATGCCATCCTGATCAACACACTGATTTGCAAACAGCCAAAGACTTTCATAACCTCGTGCAAAAGTGTCAAGTGCATAGGCACCCTGCTACATGTTACAAACGTGGTGATGGTCAGTGTCGCTTTAACCTCTCTCCAGACAACTACACAGACTGCATGTCAATGGACATGAGCACAGGCGAAATCAGCATGCATGTCAGTAACAGTATGATCAACAATTACTGCGAAACTATATTAAAAGCGGTGTGCTGCAACATGGATATCAAATTTATTGGGTCCGGTGTGTCTGCTAAAGCCATCCTCTACTATATTACAGACTACATCACTAAAACTCCATTGAAAACACATGTTGCTTATGCTGCACTCCAAGCCGCTGTCCAAAGAATGCACGATATCTCGGATGCATCTGCCACCGCTGTGGATCAAGCTAAGTGTACGTTATTAAAATGTGTGAATGCTTTGATTGCCAAACAAGAACTTGCGGCACCTGAAGTGGCTACTTATTTACTAGGATACTCAGATCATTATATGAGTCATTGGTTCCAACCACTGTTTTGGACGGCTTTCACTGCTCATGTACAGCATTCCCACTCACAACAGCAGCCTACCGATGGGCCACATGTCAATGTTCAAAATTCACCTGCATTTGATCCTCAGTGTACCAATGAGGATTGTGACGAGCTTGCAGATGGTGACGTTGTGCTAGAGGCAAATCCCAACACTGGGGGAATTGAACGATGCTGCAACCAACTGATGGATTATCAGGGCTGTGACAACTCTCCAGTGTTTGACTCCCTCTGTGTCTGGGATTTTGTTGCCATGATTGATAAAGTTCAGTTGGGAACACGCCAGCTGACTACCAATGATGATCAATCCGAAGATGAGGATGAAGTCTGACCCACCCAATGCCTCCCACACTCTGCTCTCGCCACAGACCACCCTCAACACAGTTCTCATTTTTTGCGCAAAAGGCGTTGTCGTTACATTCCTGTTCCCACTGGTCCTTCTATACCCCGCTGTGACAATCCCACTGTATATGAATATTATTCCATGGTCATGGTCACTCTGTTCAAACCTTGGCATTTAGGCAGTGAACTCCTTGGCGAATCTGCATTATGGTCAGACGCTTTTCAATTACTGTTGCCCAACCTGTCTGAGTATCATCAGCATGTGATTGAAAACTTTCAGGTGCTGCATGAATGTAAAGACAGTCGAGACCAAGACTATGCCAAACGCCGAACTCGAGCGTCCGCTCCTTCTGCTAACCACAGTTTGCAACGAGCTCTGCACATGGCTCCAGTGGCAGAAGATGATGTTGCAAGAGGGCTCGCGGCTCTCAATGCTGACTAAGCTCATGGGGCCAAACTTTCCAAAACTCCTGCTTCTTGACTATACTCGGTCCTTAAACTCCGTGGTGGGTTCTCCGGGATTTCTGCAAGGTCCGGGCTCAACAAATCCACTACCCACTCGTTGCAGGCTAGATTGTTGCCCTTATTCCTACTGTTGGAATTCCACTCACTCACACCCTCTCTAGCGTGTCCTAGCACCTTAGAGAATTTGGGGGAGGGGAGAACTTCTTTTCACAAATCCAGTATGTACAGGATTATATCTAATAATTATTTTTAGAAAGAATAGATGGGGAATATTGGTACCATATGGCACCTGGGTACCTTATTAGGCGAAATAATAAAAAGGGTAACAGCAGCAATAAAAGAATATCAATCAATAACTGAAATGATGGTGAAATATGAAAATAAAAGAAAATAAGCGATATCTCAACGGATTTACGGAATTATGAGCCGAAATTGAAAATAAAGCCGGAGATAACTCTCACACAGCCGATAAGCATTTTTACCAATTTATTAGACGCTGTGGGAATGAGTGAGGCTGGAATTCTGGGTTGCCGCTTGAGATTCCCACGCCCGCACATGCCCGTGCCTAACTTGCCCAACATAGAACTCCGTCAAATCTCCACCGATTAGGACGTTCTTGATATCGTCGGAATCGTACGAATTAGCACTATTTTTAGATACCAATTCCGTACCGAGTCGTCGCATGAATAAAAGGGGTTTTCTAATCGTGGAAATGGGTATCTGAGCCAGTGCTGCACGTGGGCGATTATCCCGCCTACAATGTCAATGATGGTTTGCTGCTCCACCATTTGTTAGATTCAGAGCGACTGAGTGTGCAAAAACATGCTGTTGCGAAGCTTGAAATTCAGACAGCTCTCTCTCATGCATGCCAGGCCGGTTTGCTGGTGTCCACCCCCTACACATCGAGTGTTGTGTCTGAGCACCACTCTGCCACTCACACTGAGGACAATGGAGCACAAGAACTCAAATGGGCTCAAGACTACAAACGCCATCGCTTGGCAGCAAAAGAAATTCTGAAGTCTGCTCTCCCCATAGAGATGAGCACTACACCCTGAGATGAAGATGGGGGTTCACACGCTCTATTCATGGATAACCAGTCAAATGACAATGACATGGGGGGTGATGTAGATGTATACATTGTGCAGAGTACCACTGTGGGCACCAGTCTGAATTACACACAAGTCACACAGAGCATTACCACAGAGTTCAATTTGAATGTGGAGCAAATGCATGCCTTCTCCTTGGTGGCTGAACACAATGCTTACACTGGTCCGGAGCCTCTATATATGTACTTAGGTGGCCCTGGAGGCACAGGAAAATCACAAGTCATAAAAGCCCTCACTGCTTTCTTCCACGCTCTAGATCAAGATTGCAAATTTCGGTTGTGTGCTTTTACAGGGGCAGCTGCGCAAAACATCAGGGGATGCACTTTGCATTCCAGTCTACATCTGTCCCAACTACCCCACATTGAGAATGCGAACGGGACTCTGAGCTGCACTGAACTGATTCATATGTGGAGTGGTGTCGATTACTTATTTGTCGACGAAATATCCATGATCAGTTGCGAGTTACTTGCAGACATCAGTGCAGCCCTCTCTATGGCAAAGGAATCAACAAAACCATTTGGCGGGATCAACGTCATCTTTGCTGGAGACTTCTGCCAGTTACCTCCAGTCAGGAACATGAGGCTGTATACTCCCCCAAAAATGTTGAACTTTCATTCCTCTGATTCCCTCTCTGACTGTAAGGAGTGGTAACCCCACCCCTTATTTCCCATTACATATTGTATAATTGTCTTGTAATAAACATGTATATACAAAGTACATACAATAGTGTGGGAAAGTGGAAGGAGCAACTTAGCCTTTCCTCCCATACTGTTGCAAATAATAACTTCATACAAGTTACTTTTGTTGGCAGCCTGAGGAACTAGGCTAACCAGGGTTGGCACCTACACCAACCCCTTACACTGACCGTGATCAGAAGAAACTGAAGGGTGCTCATTTGGGGTCCACTGCTTATGTAACTCCTTTGTTCACCCCTCTCTGTTGACTTCTCCTCCCAAGCTCACTGACCCATCATATCACCTGAAAAAGCTCATGTTCACTCCTGATACAAGTGAGTTGTTGCTACATCCACACCTATTTGTAACTGACGTCCCCAGGGTTGTGGCCATATTCTTTCCTTTCTTGCGCTTTCCATCTATCCTCTCATGCAATCTCCCAGTATGCATACCTACACGGATTACTGTCAGGGGACGACTCCCAGGTCCCCATGACCCTCCCCTATGGCCCACAGCCCTATGGTGTAACCAGCCCTATCCAGGGCACAACCTACTGTGGGTAAGAAGATGAGAAGGAAGCTAACTTCTCATCTTCCCACAGTGGCCACCATATCAGGAAAACTTCCGGGGATACCCGGAAGTCACATGAAGGGGTAGGAACCGGGCCCGGAGCATGTGGCACATGGAGCGTGTGTGCATGTGGGAAGCGCGGTGGGTGGAAGCGGGTCCGGATGCGGGTCCGGGTCCGGGCTAGTCAGGGTGTGTGCCCTGACAATTACACTTTGCATCTTTAATGATTAATGATAAACGATTACACTTGATATGACATATTGTGAATGCTCGGGTGTAAACTTGTGACGCTCTGGTTGGCATGCGCAACTGGATGTCGCTAATAAAGAGCAGGACAGGAGAGATCATTCTCAAGTAATGGGGCCCTCAGTTATGGATCCTTCCATCATCGCTTGTATTGTTGCTCATGCGGACTGTGCTAACTTCTTGGGGTCGACTGACCCTGGCTCTGTCTCCTACCGCAGTGCAGCAGCATCAAATGGTCAGTCCATACATGGAACTTGGATTACGCATGATGGGGCGAACGCACCAGCCGAATTTGGCTTTTTTGGAGTTATTGAAGAAATTCAACACTGCTAGCGCTATAGACTTATGTCATGAATTCAACTGAGGTAAACCAGGTGACTGGACAAATGACATAAAATGGACAAGCCTGGTATCGAACCCAGGACCTCTAGCGTGCATCCATACACTACTCGCCCGTTATGCCAGGGAGGTTACTCCATCCCTGATGGTTATTCCAACAGTTATCACCATGGCCAACGTTGGGCCTTACAGTAATCAGTGTGCGGCCCCATTCAATGCATGGCATGAACAAGGAGTGTGTCATTGTTCCCCACTTATGACCTCTGTGGCATCACTTACAATGTAGGGCAGTGCACGAAAGTGAATGGGACCAAGACCAAGTATCAAATCCAGGTGGGAATGCCTCCAATGGCTCCACCCGAAGTGAAAAAACTGTTTGTACTCCAACTGCATGCCTTAAATCACCTCAAAAACGCATCCGGACTCGGTCACCATTGTGAAGGTTCGTTACACCATTGGTTCATTGCCCTGGCCCTCTATCCTCATCTACATCTCAGAGGACATGGTGGAAGTTCATGGAAACAAATACAGCTGGACTTATATCGACAATCGCAACTCCCCTTACTTGCGAATAGTGCACCCAATGTTCATGGAGAGCTGAGGGGCGGGTCCAAAGGAGAACAAGAAAATCAAGATGTCTCTCTCTCTTGAAAACAGTAAGCAGGTTGGTGCCAGCGTCCATTCTGTGTTTAACTGCTCCCTCCACCAGTGGAACCCATGCCGGAGGCCACTGGCTTGATGGAAGAGGTGTCAGGGGATGCGCGTGCTCATGCAGATTGCTCCGATAACCTAGTTGTGATTAAAGCCAGGGGAAAGGGGTGTCCCCATCTTAGGGTCAGCTATATACATGTAGAGTCCGGCAATAAGGAAACCAAATGGATTGCCGATAGAATCACATGATCATAGAATGTTCCAGAACAATGCCGGAGATGATCTGGGCCACCAGGGCTTAGGTAAGTGGAGTAGATGGGAATTACCGGCATACTTCCCACGCGCGCATATGCACAGCTGGCATAGGGTCCAGGGTCATTGCTGATCCCTGACATCACCTCCTCCTTTAGGGTTATCGCCCTGATAACCCACTAGGCTACAAAATCCTTGTTGTTCCTCAATGGGCATGCCCTCAGTGGTGGCAGCAGGGATAGAGTCGGATGCTCGGTGATAGCCAGGCTAGGGTTGGAGTGGGTATCCTCATGGAGTGGCACATGGTGGTGGATAGGTAGAACTGCAGCCGGACTGATGTCGATGGACAGCAGGGGGTAGGGTCTGCTACAACGAGCCAGCAGTGGCCAGCGTTAGTGGCGGTAGTGGACAAGGGGTGCAGCAGGGGTAGAGGGTTGAGGGTCAGCAGAGTGTAGGGAGTGCTGGGCAAATGTCCGCAGCGACAGCCAATAGTTGTCCTCGGTAGGGCAGTGTGGAATGCCAATCAGCGGGTGGGTATCGCTATTCACACAGGCAGGGGGGATAGGGAGTGTTGAGCGCTTAACCCTTGGGCGCTAGAGGTAGGGAGGGAGAGATCGCCGGTTTCAGGCGGATATAGGAGTGCTAAAGGCATTGTTTGTAGAGAGAGGAGCCCTGTGTAGAAGTAAAGCCTGGGCGGCAGCTGTAGGGAGGAGCAAGGTAGAAGGTAGGGTGGCGGGCCGGGTGCTAGAGTAGTGCAGGCGACCCTTTAGGTGGCTTTAATCATCTGTCAGGGGATGTGCGTGCTCGTGCAGATTGCTCTGATAACCTAGTTGTGATTAAAGCTGGGGGAAGGGGTGTCCCCATCTTAGGGTCAGCTATATACATGTAGAGTCTGGCAATAAGGAAACCAAATGGATTGCCGATAGAATCACGTGATCATAGAATGTTCCAGAACAATGCTGGAGATGATCCGGGCCACCGGGGCTTAGGTAAGCGGAGTAGATGGGAATTACCAGCATACTTCCCATGCACATATGTGCAGCTGGCATAGGGTCCAGGGTTGTTACTGATCCCTGACAAGAGGGTGGTATGCCTTCTGTGTTCTCACACCCGGACTGGGACCCTGACTCCCATTTTTGTCGTGCACTCCCAGTGCCTTCTGTCCAGAAAGAGTTTAAGTATCACATCGACCTGAAAGCATTTGATGACCAAGGATTAGACATTCCATGCGAGGCAATGGAGTTGTTCTTCAGAGAAGGGGTGGCTGTAATTGGCACCGCTTCCTTGCATTTGTACATACACAATCCCTCGACATCATTCATGGGTGACAAACGGGCTCTGTGGATGGACAGCATGCATGCACGTAATACACTGAGAGGCAAAATTCGCTCTTTCCAACTGCATTGGACAGCTCTGCAGATGGCTGGCCAGACTAATCTGCTTCGTGAAGAACCGATTAACCTTCCTTCAGGTTCCAAAAAACGACCTGCAGAAGAAGAGAGTCCGGAGCCGCTGTAGGCGGGATAATCGCCCACGTGCAGAGCTGGCTCGGATACCCGCTTCCACCATTCAGAAAACCCCTTCCATCTATGCGACGACTCAGTACAGATTTGGTATCCAAAAATAGTGCTAATTCGTACAATTCCGACGATATCAAGAACGTCCCAATCGGTGGAGATTTGATGGAGTTCTATGTTGGGCAAGTTAGGCATGGCAGGTCACGAGTATGTGCAGGCGTGGGAATCTCAAGCGGCAACCCAGAATTCCAGCCTCACTCGTTCCCACGGCGTCTAATAAATTGGTAAAAATGCTCGTTGGCTGTGTGAGAGTTATCTCCGGCTTCATTTCTAATTTTGGCCTTTAATTCCGTAAATCCGTTGAGATATCGCTTATTTTCTTATATTTTCATATTTTTGCATCATTTCAGTTATTGATCAATATTCTTTTATTGATACTGTTACCCTTTTTTATTATTTCGCCTAATAAGGTACCCAGGTGCCATATGGTACCAATATTCCCATCAATTATTCTAAAAATAATTATTTCTTATAATCCTGTACATACCGGATTTGTGAAAAGAAGTTCTCCCCTCCCCCAATTTCTCTAAGGTGCTAGGACACGCTAGAGAGGGTGTGAGTGTGTGGAATTCCAACAGTAGGAACAAGGGCAGTGATCTAGCTCACAACGAGTGAGTAGTGGACACTGAGCCCGGACCTTGCAGAAATCCCGGAGAACTCACCACAGAGTTAAGGATCGAGAGCGTAGCAAAGTTTAGTCAAGAAGTAGGAGTTTTGGAGAGTTTGGCCCCACGAGCTTAGTCGGCATAGAGAGCTGCTAGCCCTCTTGCACCGCTCCCCAAATGTTGTCCGTTCTTCACCAGCCACATGGCCAAAAAAGAGGCAGCCTCAGATGGCGCCCCGAAGGACAATGCAACTTTGAACGGAGCGAAAGGAAAGGCAGTGGTTGAAGTGTTGTACACGCATGGGGATGGGGTGAAGGATATGCATGGGGATGGAGAGGAAATGTGCATCAATTTTCCTCATTATGTTGCTCTGTGGTTGACCAAGGGGTTAGGGAAAGCATCCCAACCAGCCTTGCCACAAACGACAGCAATCAGGGTTGGGTGGTGTTTTGATGCCGTGGCTTTGCTTGGTAGGTTTCACTGCAGGTTTCGCTTCACAAGACAGCGCTGGCCATTTCAATGCTCGCTCTGTAAAGCAATCAATGTTATGATTCATGGAAAGAAAGAAATTGTGTGATCACAATGGGCTTGTGAAAAGCAATTGAAATATTGAGTTGGGATGGTGTATTACGACTGTGCCATCTGAGAAACTGGTTTCACAGCATGGAAATCACCACTATCTGAGTATAAGGAGGTGCAGTATTACGTCAATGCACACTGGGTTAGCATGTTAACACTCGGATGGATGGTATCGGGCAAATGGCTTGTCCCATGAGCTGGGAAAAAAAAGGGGACTCAGGAGAGATGGAAAGTGGTGCATTATGTCAGTACACACTAGGTTAGCATGCAAGTGACACCCTGGCACCCAATAGGAACACACCTGGGAAGTGATAACCTGACTGTCAATGTGACTAAGGCAGAACTGGGGTACTTAACTAGCTCATGAACTGGCTCAGCAGCACAAGCAGAATCCCCCTCAGAAGAATGTGGACCATATATGATGAATGTCAATTGCATGGCATCACACACCGCCACATATGTTTGGTATGCCCCTGACCCATGTTGCATTCATTGTCTCACGTAACCCCGATGGCAAAGGTCAAGAGTAATTTGATCGGTGTGTGCTCGATCGCAGAAGAGTGCCAAGTGTTCTTTTGGAACAGTGATGGTAATACATCCGTTGAGTGTGTTACATGTTAATGTTGTTACTGGTGGTACAGTCTAACTCCCATGGCCTTCAATTGATGAAGACCGCAATGGATCATGCCCAATATGTGTGAGATTCATTTTTGCCTGGGTGCGATGGAGGCGATTGAGAATTAACTGGAGTATGAACTGCCACGCCCTGCAGTGTAAATTATGCAGTTATTATATCAAAATATGGACAGAGTAACAGCAAATCTCGGGCTTCATCTCAGCCAATAGCAACATTGAGACTGAACATGCATGCGGGGGAAGAGTAGCAGGATCTGCCACTTCAGGTGGCGTTCCCCAGTTATTATATTACATGGAAGCAGAAGTGGGTCATGACGGTGGCGACGCTACTGGAAAGGATTATTTTACATAAGCTACATATGCATCTCCGGAATTCTCCCATATTCACATCCTGATCTGCATAATGAATATGGATTTTTTGGGCCAGGACATTCGTCACCAGATTCCCGGAATTCAAAATGGAAATTGAACCCAACACCTTATCAAACTAGAGTGCATGTGTGAGGCCCCAGCCCATATCTATATTCCGCCCACAACATCAATTGATGTTGTGTTGTCTGATATATATGTTGCAACGCTAATTTAGCATTGCAGAAGCTTCTCTATTTATTTGTGCCGAGAATGCAAAAGAATGTATATAAACCCTTGGGGTAGCTGTAAAAGGCGGATCAGCCTTTACTTCTACCCCATTAATATACAGCCCATCAAAGTGTTGAAGGAGAGAATGAAGGAAGGTCAGTTGGGAGGTTCAAACGAGACCACCACCAAGCTGTTCCCTGGTTCTTTAGTTAGGATGGGGAAGTGTACTAGTATTATTTATTGTAAATATAGTACCAATCCGAGTGTTTTGGCTAATTCTATTTTTATGGGTTAGTTTTAAAATTCCTGGGAATTGACTTACAGATAAACCAAGCCCTGCAGAGCTGTTTCTTTATTGAAATTTCTTAATTTGTCTAGGTGTAATTCTGTGTAGCGTTGTTTAATTTGGAATTTAACTTGAATTTAATCTTCAACTTGGTGAAGTTTCAAAGATTCTATTCAGTTAATGGATTTGGATTGTGTCTGGAGTGTCCCTTGGGTTTGTTTTATTTTTGTCTTATTTTATTGCTTGTTTTAACAGTAGCAAGATAACTGTTTTGTGTTTACACTTTGAAATCTGGAGTGTTAACCAGCTCTCCTGTTGAAATATTTACTTAATATTTCTCTCCTTAATTGCTGCCTTTTACTACAGTGGCAATCTTAACTGTATATCACTTTTTCGCACTGGAGTGACAACCAGAAATGCTTGAGAAAAATAATACTCTATTTTCTTACTTCTCTAAGGGGGGGGGCGAAAAGTCGCAGAAAGGGTCTCCCTTTTATACTCCTTGGGTTGCCTTCCTTTTTCATGCTCTACCTTCTATTTACAGGATTTATTTACAGTGTATTTTTCTCAAACTGAATAAAAAATGAAATTTTCACGCTATAGTTCTACTGCGCTTTTGCTGCGCTGAACTGCAGTTCTACTGTGGTCAGACTGCGCCTAGAATCCTTATTGTCCTCCCTCGCCTAAGCTATTTTAATGGTTAATTAGAACTTGGCTGCGCTGCATTTGTCGCAGTTACCTATTTCAAATTCCCTATATATACCATTAAATTTGCTATGACTTGATGATTCTGAATTCAAACTTCGCATTACTATGCGTACGGCTGTGCTGAGACCTTCAGCTGATTTATTCCATTTTTATTTAGTGACATTTAGTTAAAATGAGACTGAAATGGTAAATGAGTGAATTATTCAGGTTTAAAACTGAAAGAAAAAGTTGCTAGTAGTCAAGAATTACTCAAACAAATGTGTTATAGCTCTCCACTTCATTAGAATATCATTCCCTAAAATTCCCGCCATGGTCCATCATAGTTTAGTGGTTTTCGTGAATTTCGTTCATATTCCCTGATTCCCCTTTGTATTATCACATCCTAATCCTCCATATGTATTGTTCGTTGTTATAGTAGGTCGTCCTTGAAGATATCGTATTTTTATGTATTTTATTTAGGACTCTGGACCTCTTGAAGCTGTCTTCCCACGCATTTTCAGGTTTCTAACTTCATGTCCTTGTATCTCATTCATTTCTGGATGTTTTCTCACGTTCTTGGTGTCATAAATTTTCATTTATTCCCACCTTTCCAATGGTACTAAGGTTGTGTCCTATTTCCTGGTATTCGTTGAGTTAGCAAAAGTTCGCGCGCACATTCGGTAATCATGTGCATCGTTCCCATAGTCATTCGTATGCGGGCACCATTTCCGTTTAATTGTTTGGGATTTATGATATGCGTGGGTGTTTATTTCTTTCATATGGGCTTCTGTGATTTATTTCAGATTTTTCCCTCATGATCTAAGGTTGTTTTGCACTTTCCATGCTTTGTTTTGACCAGGCTCTTCCTTATTTGGACAGAAATTGGTCTTCGCGATCTGCCGAAGTGTGGATCTCGGTTCCGATGGCCGGTTCCCTGCGCATCGCCACCCTCACGTGTCATTACACATGATGCGGATTTCTATATTCCCGTCATGGGTATAACTTCACAATGGCTGGACCATTTGGGCTGAAAATTTGCATAACTATAGTTCCCCATTTTTCATAATTTCCGTGTAAATTTCGTTGTATGTTTTAATTATGGATCCTACGCAAACATCGTCTTTTCCCTGAGCTCGGACTTTTGATGTCGCTATTCCCATTATTGGATATCTCATTAATGCATGATCCTTTTATTATGAAAATTTGGGAGGATTAAGATTAGATCCCTTCCTTTCTAATGGGCTATCAAGCTTGTCTCGGTCGTTACTGGTTAATCTTTGCGCTTGCCTTTTAGACGTTGTCCTCGTTTTGCAGGAGTTTTAGTCATATCTCCGTCGTTTATGGGTAGTTTCCCCTGTAGTTACTTTCATTGGGTCAGTTTGGGGGACATCTACATTTCCTATTATAGACACGACTTTGAATTTTGCATTAGCTCCTGAGGAATCCTTGTTCTGTGGTACTTCCATCCTTGGCTACGTGTGCGGACATGGGAAAGTAGTTTCCATGGAGGTTCTCTGATTGTTTTTATAGTCAAATCTTGGTCAATTGTCCTAATTCTTGGTTTAATATTTGCTATAAATTCCCCTGAGAATTCCGTCTCGTTGATGGTAAGCTTGAAGTATTTTTGCTATTTTTCTTTCTTTCAATTTATCGCATATAGTCATAATAATTCGTAAAAATTCGTTAAAATTCAGGTCCTTCTATTTTCTCATATCTACTTGTCGTATGAGGTTTTGTGATTTATCTGGCATATTTCCATAATGGGTTTCCATAGTGTGACCGTTATTTCTCCTACAGCATATACTTAGATGGACCAACTGAGGCCTGAGGCGAACAGGGGAATGGAACGTACGGTCCCCAAAACAAGTAAGATCCCTTTCAGTGTGCTTTGCATTGCAGTCACCTGCACAGCACCCATTAATGAATGAAAGCCAATTTTTTTCCCAATCAGAGATTGTAACCTGTGCAAGGTGCATATGGTACAAAGAAGTATATACAGTAGTTGCCACAGAGGGACAGAGAACGAAGTCACATATGGTATGAAGATAATTCTGTGAAATCCATCTGGAAGGAGTAAAGCACTTTGCCAGTGCTCTCTGTGTTTTTTGTTTTTTGTTTTGTTTTTCGCTGTATTCCTAATCGCTTTCCACCCCTCAATTGAGACCAAATGTGACTGCCCATTGCCGAGTACCAAATGTTAGAGATGGTGTTTCCCTCTTTCTCACCGATGTTGCACACAATAAATTCTTATGCCAGGTGTTGTATGTATCACTTCAATATGTTGGAATTTGTACACATGGTCTCAGGAACCTTAATGCATAAAATATGGACATTCTGGGAGTCAAACCTCAGCACCCTGCATAGGTACCTAGAGTGTGTTACCATTACACTAAATGCCCGCATTAGGCAGAGGTGGTTTCTAACACAATATTCCCCTCAATCCAAAAGCCATTCTGTCCTCTTTGCATCACTCATTTATACTTTACTCTTCCTCCTCTACTGTGGATCATTCTGACCATCTTTACCAGGAATCACGTGCACAGGACGCCACCCATTAGCTGGCCCTACTTAATCCCTGACAGCAGCTAGTAAAAAACAAATGATAGAAAACCCCTTCACATCATTATCCTCTTCCCTGATTTCTGAGAAGGTGGATGCAAACAATTGGGAGATTTGCGAGGCCAAATGAGTGGCAGGAATTTTCCGTGTCCACCATGTAATAAACATGAGGTCATGCACCTCAGAAAGGAAAGACAAACACGTAAGCAAAAGTGGCACAAAAAACGTAAGGAGGTGGAGAGTGACACTGCTGTGCAGGTAATTGGGTATACTCTTGCGAAAGCACTTCCAATGACCAAGTGGTTGGCTGAGTGGGCGCATTGTGAGACAGCAACCCATTGCCCTCAGCCTTGTGGACCAACATAGATATATAGAAGACATCGGCCAAGTAACCCCACCCTCACCATATATCAAGGAGTTTCTTTCTATCGAGTCTCCTTGGGATATCAGGGGAGGAGGTTTTGTTAGAAACCACCTCCGCCTAATGCGGGCATTTAGTGTAATGGTAACACACTCTTGGTACCTATGCAGGGTTCTGCGGTTCGACTCCCAGAATGTCCATATTTTAGCATTTAGGTTCCCAAGACCACGTGTACAAATTCCAACATGGTGGACATTCTACGGAAGTCACCAAGCACACCCAAATCCGGTTGCTGCCACGTGAGATGGGCATGTGAAGTCAAGCATTAAATTAGCTGGCCTGACAAAGTTTCAGGGGGGTGTAGCTCAGAGCACTAAGGACCCAAATCCGGCTGCTTCAGACCACATGATGTGGACATGTAGGAGATTAGCAGTAAGTCCGGCCTGAATATGAATTCAGGGGGAGGCCAGACTCGTACCCAGTCAGAGGAGCTCCATGGATGTGCAAAATAATAGCTTTTTTATGCAATGTAAATAAACGTTCTCACACTGGTACTCGACTGCTTCTGATGCTAGTCACATTCTGTACTCAATACAAAAGATCACATGGTATGGAGTTAAACAAATATCCGATCACCTACTCCGAAACTTAGCCTGCAACACTTCACTCCTCTGACTGGGGCAAAATGTAGGTGGCGATGCATCAGAAACACCCGACTCTCATGCTAAGCCTGAATGAGTTGTACATAGAGGTTGTGCAATGTAATTGTTAGTGTTGACACATGTGGTCATTATACCCAACCCAACCCATAGAGACTTGGAAGCACCTTGAGGGGTGTGAAATCGACAACCTGGGCATGTGCAGAAATTAACACTTCATATAATACTTCTATAGCATTCTGTAGTTGGTGCTTTGTAGTGAAGTGGTACAAGTGTGAGCTGAGGCTATGCAGCCTTTTTTGGCTGCAGGTGTTCAATTCCCACTCAGTGAACCTTTTTTTCTTTACTCCTTAGTGTAAATGGGAGGTTGTTACAATTATTCCTGAGACCATAAAAAAGGTTCATTGAGTGGAAATTGAACACCCGCAGCCAAAAAAGGCTGCATAGCCTCAGCTCACGCTTGTACCGCTTCGCTACAAAGCACCAACTACAGAATGCTATAGAAGTATTATATGAAGTGTTAATTTCCGCACATGCCCAGGTTGTCGATTTCACACCCCTCAAGGTGCTTCCAAGTCTCTATGGGTTGGGTTGGGTATAATGACCGCATGTGTCAACACTAACAATTACATTGCACAACCTCTATGTACAACTCATTCAGGCTTAGCGTGAGAGTCGGGTGTTTCCGATGCATCGCCACCTACATTTTGCCCCAGTCGGAGGAGCGAAGTGTCGCGGGCTAAGTTTCGGAGTAGGTGATCGGATATTTGTTCAACTCCGTACCATGTGATCTTTTGTATTGAGTACAGAACGTGACTAGCATCGTGGTACGAGTCTGAGACTAGGCACGTTTCTCCGTACCACACAGAAAAGAGACCTCCATCACACCGCCTCCGCCTAAGATGATTTGGTACCTTCCGTCCTTATTGTCGATAGCTTATATTGGTTTTCGTCTCTACTGGTGGCGCTTACGCCAAGTCGCCATCAGAACTGCCACGGTCTTACATGTTTTGCGCTCTCTTGAGGAATCGGCCCCTTCGAGTGACAGGAAGTTTCCGGGAATTGCAGTGATCGCTGGAGGAAGGTGCGTATGACAGGTACACGCCTTCATGGAACCGTCAACTGAACTTTGAACTGCGACCAGTATCGCTGGCTACCTTACCGCTCGAGTCCTCTCCGATTTCTTTCAAAGAGTTGTTATCATAGAACCAGATACAAGACTCGTCGCTCATGGCTCGCGAGTCGGCCAACGCTCCCAAATCCACCTTATTTCTGTCATTGGCACCAAATTGCTTCGGTTGCTTTTTCACGACTTTGACAACGAGGCTAGAAAGGAGGGCGCCAACGTGAGAGTTGGCTGGCTCTCCTGGGTTTCTGGTGGATGGACACCACAGATCACCCTCAGTTCGATTCCAGATAGGCTAACGATAACTCGGATAACGTTGGTCTGATCACTTACTTGATCCTCACTACCTACCATCTCACACCCATAGGCTTGAAAAACTCATTCGCCGCCTTGTTGAGGAATATGCCGGTCCTGCCCTTCAAGTTATCCAGGGAACTGTGACTGAGATGCACGCTGCGTCGGATGGTGACAGCATATCATCCATCACCTACATACCCGCCTCGCCACCCGAAGGATCACGGTCTATTACGCTCAACGCTGCATTCTTCTCCGATTGTTCAGGACTAGCTTCCATTTCATCGAAACTCCTTTCAAAGGCATCCCCTACCTGGGGACCATACCGCACCCACGAATATGGATGCAAAATGTTTTATCATACGACCATTTTACCCCCTATTACGGACCAATCTGTTCAAGAAAAATTGTCACGAACGCTTCCGGACCATTTTCACACCTTCGGTCGATGGGATGCTATCGACATGCTTCAGAGTTTTCAACCAACACACGTTTCTGGTAGAGAATGCTACATAGTTGAGAAATCGTCAGGGAATCAGAGTAAGTGTCGATTTCGTTCTCGGGTACGTTGGTGATTGTAGTGTTGCTATTACAGTCTCATTACTCCACGGAGGGTGGGGTACCAGCGACGGCGGATTGTCGCAGACGCTTCCCCAGTTCGTGGAGAATGTGGAAGCAATTCAGACGCGTACATACAGAGATCGACCCGAGCAGAATACATCGGGCTGGGTCTTGAATTTCCTGCAAGTGCTAGCTGAAAATGTCGAAGGTGCCGAAGAGATCAGGTTCAATAGCTGGAAAATCGTGAGTGTCCATTGCATGCGTTAGCACATAGTGTTTAACGTTAATCATCTGTTAGCCGACTAGCCGCCTCACAGACTTCAGGACGGGACGCTTGCCTTCTAACTTTGTCGCAGTGGGTGACTCACGCCTTTGTGAGTCTGATTTAATGATTGGGCGGCTCAAATTGATCACTCCATCAATTGTTCAATAGCGCTCAACCCAGCTTTTGGACAAGGCATCACCAAAATTCTTTCTGAATTGGCCTTCATTCATGCTATTCTGCGTGAATCTCAATCCGGCCCCTCGCTTTCTGTGTCTCAAACGTATTTCACGCGAAGCGCAGCTGTGGTGCATGACATGTACACCTTCAACAAGTTCTTAGACTATGGTCATTCGACAACTGTGCCGGAGGAAGGCGAATCCAAGGAAGTAGGGAAGGACTCAAGAGAGTTCTGGGCTAGCCTCATGGAACTCACTCAGCAGGTGAGTTTGTCAATCGTAAGGGTAGACCAATGGCGAGACCTAACCCTCGTCCACCTCGATCCTAAAAAAGAGCAAGACGGTAACAGACATGGTCATCCCCCCATTCAATGGGCTAGCGCCAAGCATGGATATGGGACATCCCTATATCATATTCAGACTCCTGCTTCTCAAATGGAAGAAAATACTCGGTTTGGCTTGATCATCTACAAATCCCATGTTGTCATTCGTTCGTCCCATCGCATAACCCCGATGTCGCGGATGCTACTGATATCCTGACCTGTACTTGGCGTACATCCAGGTCATCATATTTTGCAAATCTTGATGATTGACTGCGGCCCTCAAACTAATGTTCAATATAGTATGGAGTATGTTCTCTTCCAAAGAGCGACGACCATCCATCATCAACTAAGTGCACGAGAAATGAACTTTCATTGCTTCAATATCTACACCGCTACAATTTCTCTGTGACATCCTTCGCTTCCGCCTCCTCAAGTTCAATGACTTTTTGGATGGCTTGAATGACAATCTCATGAATTCCCTTACTCCCAGTTGCGACAACACCTGTAGTCTCTTTGAATGTGCGCCCATCGCTAAAACTGAGTGGTCGGCCGTAAGAGTCCGACACGATGCCTCCGGCTTCATGTATCAGCAAGTTTCCAGAAGCGTGATCCTGAGTGGCAAGTTAAGACGAAGAACACAGCGGATATATTTACTAAAATAACGACGCACCCATATTTTCTCCTTATAATTTTTGCCCTTCACTGGCATCCTCAGATACACGTTCCCTTCACCCTCTAGACCCCTTGCCAATACGCAATACTTAGCTTGACTGTCCATTCTGTTAGGCAGGTTCGTAACTCCCAACAGTTTAGCAACCCGTTCATTGAAATCATGCGCCGAATGTCCACTGTCTACACTTTCCAGAAATCTTAGTCCCGACCCTAAGATCCCGGCACCTGATGGTGAAAAGAGTCGTAATTGGGTACCTGGACTCGTCCAGGCATTGGAAAGATGTCTGGACTCGGCCCCCTGACCGCGAACGGCTACGAAAATTGCACCGCGCTCTGTGGGGGGTAATGCGGAAGATGGAAGAGCAGTCGATGTGAGAGGTAAGTTCGGGCAACCTATAACGCCTACTTCTACACGCGCGTTGACCAGAAGTGCAAGGCAAACTGCATATTGCTCCCCTCGAAGAAACCCTTTGGTCCCATCAATTGGGTCGACTGCCCACATGCCTTGAGGGGATCATTCGAAGATGAGTTTTTTCCAACACATGCGGAATAAATCTGCTTTTGGAAGGAAAAAAAATTGAAGGGAATCGACTAACGGCCTTTATTCCCTCCTGCATGATTGCCTCGATCGATAGCATCCAAAAGCTCGCTCGTGCTCTTCGCGTCACCCAACCCCCACTCCTTTTTCTCCTCGCCACTTAATGGCTTTGTCAAAGCATCATTCGCCAATTCCGTAATTCGCTCTCGCATCACCCTCTGGGCTTCTCCACCACCTCTCAGATCGCTCGAATCCTCTTCCCCTACAATAGGGTCATCAGGAAAAGAGGTTCCAAGGATAGTATTGATGAGCGCTTGTGCTGAGAGATCAGCGATCGTTACTGGAGACTTGTCTTCCTTGGTGAGGGTTTCGGACTTGACCAGTTTATTGAAGACCGAAGAAGTGAGAGCGCACGCGCGAGTCACCGCTGATATAGCCACTTGTCTTTCTAGCGCGTACAATGTCATCGTTTCGATATCGTTTTGACCAGCCTCTATAAATCGTTGTGGGAAACAGGATGGTGGCTGTGACATCTCAGAATGAATCACATTTGAGTCATTTAGCCTCAGATTGAATTGATACAAATGGGTTGAAGCCTTGGGATAGGAGTTTTCTCCCGAGGTGCATACGTCTGCATGATGGCTTTAAGTCATGCCTTGGATGTGTTGTGGCCGTGTATTACATAGTGTTGGTGGTGATTGCCAAACATTATTCACATGCAATATCACGCGACCTCTCAAAATGAGAACACATGGCCCGCTGTTTGCCATTTGGATATTCTTTGAATTGTATTGGTTCATCACATTCCGACTTCGACCAAACCCTATTGGAATCCGATTCAGTAGGAAATTTTCCGGCCTCATGACTTGACGCCACTTTTACGCCTTTGCTCATACCCCCCCACTCTCTTCGATGAGGAGCCTAGCACGCACGACATCCCAGCTCAGGTGCACCAGCTCTCTCGCGCTATGCCGCAAATATCACAAGCCATCAGATCCTCACCCGATTCAACTGCATTCCGCCACTCTGCAGCGTGAAATTTCAACGGATTCTCAGTATCTTGATGGCAACTCTTCCCATCCCCACCATCCATTCCCCCCTCCAATATTACCATCACGAGATGATCCTCAACCCGATACCCGCCGAACTCTCCATCGATACCCTACCAGTGTGAACTTGAGACCTCGCAGAATGGACAACACATTTGATACAGCACTCCTTTCGCTCTTATCTTCAAATGTCCAATGGGCAGACCAAGTAAAAGCGAAGGATCCCGATTTCTTTGTTAATTCCGCAAAAGCCCAAACGCCAAAAATATTATGGCTTGGATGGCATGTCCTCTTTTTCTTCTGCTGAAAACGATGCTGACGTCTGAATATCTTTTTCCATGGTGCAGTGCGGATTCGCGTGTACCAGAGAGTGTTGTCACTGCCTCTGCGCCGGGAGACATTTTCGTGCATCGTAACATCGCAAAGTCCGTCCGCCGCAATACTTTTATCTTATATGTCCCTTACGCTGGCATTCGGTCGATTTCAGCCAGTTCCATTCAGATGATGCCTCAGCCCTGTCCGTCCTTCAGTTTGCAGTTGAAAGCGTCGGCGTCCAGCACGGTACGTCAATATGATCAATCTGAGACTTTGCAGCCACTCAAGAAGTAAATCCCTACCATCTCTTCGATCATGCTCGAATACTCTTACCGCCATAGTCATCGTAGCTGTAAGTTCTCCATTCCGCTCCCCTCTCTGTGTCTTCACCACTCACCGTCTCGCCCCCCCCCCTCAATTGTCGGCCTAGGGTCACACAAATTGCGGTGGTGCGGAAGCCTGCTATGACCTCGCCCACTCTCAATCCGCTACACCGCCACCAATTCTAACCACACACCTGGGTAGATGGCTTTCTCCCCTCGTCTCCCTCGCGGGGGAACTAGGGCCATTAGAAGATAGAAGCAAAGCCGTGTTAAGGCTCATAGAGAAGAACGTAAAAATGCAGGTGCAGACAATTTGTGAGACCGAGACGATCAGGAAGGCCTGGAGCAATGGAAAGAATGGTGCGTTCACTTGTGGATTGGGGAAAAGAGAAGGCTTTGCCCTGACCCTTTTTTTTCTGGGGGGGGGGTTCTGATTTTAGTTCGAGTTCATGGCTGGATCTATGCTCTTGAGACAGGAATTTTGCGAGATCTCGACATCTCCCAAGGTCTAGAGAGGGCAATCTGAAGGATTTGATTGTTCGGGCCGAACCCGATCTACTTGAAAATGATACTGTGCGTCTAGCAATGTAATCAAGCACAACAAAGAAATGTTCGATAATAGATCCGCCAAAAGATGCAAGGTCAGGAAGAAATGGCGAAATTGCAGGTTCCGAATGTGCGTGGTGAAATGCGTCTAATGGTTTGGGATGAATGGTACAAAAGGTTGTCGTGAGCGCAAATTGAACTAATCCAAGACGCGTAAATAAGAAATGCAATCAAGAAGATCAAGGAGTGTAGGGGGCGTCGAATGTCTGTAAGGTCTACCCGCAAATCTGGCAAGCAGGTGTTTGACGACCGGGTTGGATCACTGCAGGGGGTTAGACATCAGTTGTTGGTATTTGAGAAGTTTACTGTTCATTTTGAAGCTTTTGTAACTAGAAGGAATGATAGTATTGTGTAGTCCCAGAGCTTTTGCTTTGATCTCCCTCAACTCGCGAAAGAACAATTCCCAGGGAAATCTAATGAGTGGGGGACTTTTCAGCGACATACCACGTTGGGGGAGTTATTGAACTTACAGTGTTCCTTCACAGTGAGGCGAGTGCCTTGTCTCGTTCCATTCATCTAGGTCATGAAGATAGGCATATGACGCTGCAATGATAGTCCCCTCCATAGAGCTTATGTATACAGAGCTGAGCTTGCTCAGAGAGTTTCGAACGGAGGAGGATAAAAGCAATACGGTCGCTCGGCGTTCTGTTGAGTATAACTTCAACTTCAACTTCTCTTCCACTTCGTTCAGGTAGCGCTTGCGAGTTTCTCGAATCACATCCTCGATGGCGCGAAGCTCCTGAAGAAACAAAACCTTGACCGGATCTGCCATTTGATCCGAACGCTTCAAGGCGTCCCGGTGGGGTTCAATCAAGTGGGCGTCCCGCCAAAGAGGTTTATAAATTTGTTCATCCGCCTCGTCGAATTCCTTACGAATTGCGGTCTGCGTCGGCGTATTCATCAGCGGATAGAATAATCCAAGCGAACTCAACGAACCGCTGTGGCCGTTGCTTTTTGATACATTCGCTCTAGAATGAAGGTGCGTGAACTTGCTTCGGGGGACCGCGGTAATGGCTGCTTCTCGAGCTCGTTAGGGTTCGTTGCAAATGCGCCAGTTGATTGTGTTGAGCCTCGTTTCCAGGCTGGTCGCTGCCATTGCGACCATTCATTCTGATCGGCCCTGAGAACATCGGGGAGGACTCGTAACCCGGACTTAACATCGTCCATTGTTGCTGAAAACCTTAGCAGCAAATATGAGCAGAGTCCGAAAATATCGAGAAGTATCTCACATATGCGCAAGGCGTTCTGCAGCGGGATGAGTATACCCATGTCGGTACACAGCTTGGGAAGAGGGAAGAGATGATCGGTGTGTAGCATTGGCATTTCGGAGAGTTTATTTACCTAATTCGTGCCTGGAATTAAAGATCAGAATAACTAGCATGGGAGTCATTGTTACAAAAGCTTATCACATATTCGAATACGCCCCAACAAGCGGTAATCTGCGAAGTGAGGACAGGAGAATTCTTTGAACCGTCCTGTCGCTTTCTCGTTCGTCCAAAAACATGGAAGTCCCGCGGTGTGGAACAGGCGCCTTTTCCTTGATAAAGTTCTTGTTCACAAAGTCTGCGGGAGGATCAAGCGCGTGCCTTGATGCTTGCTCAAAGCCGTTCACAATTTCTGGCTGGCTAATTACAACTACCGTATCCTAAACAAATATGAGCATATGGGCATGAAAAGATGGATTTCTCGCTTACCCCGTCGTAGTCGCCACCACCCCTGAAGACAAGGTATTCAAGAATTGGGGTCTTCAGCTATTGAAATACGCTACTCACATTATACTAAGAGGTGAACGGGATCCTTGACATGAGAAGATTACAATGTCGGTAAAGCCCATGAGGGTTCCACAATCAACCGCCTCGAACTGGCCAGACGCCCGTTAATGCTGTGTCAACATTTCCCTATCCTTTAGCGAACCTTTTGGACATCGGATGCAAACTGATAGAAAGATGAGCTAAGAGCTGAACCTAAGACTGGTTTCACACACTTTGCAAGGGTGTCTAGTGACCTAGAAAGAATGCAGATCAGGGGGTGGAATAGCTTTGCGAGTGATCTGGCATACTAGGACTGGCCCGAGAACTGTGTACTGCTTGTCGCCGTTGGCATTTATCCAAGGCCTGGACGACCTGCAGTAGATCTGCCCAGGCCGTAGAACACCCATACTGGCATCATCAATGGCATAGGGGTCTAAAGCCTTTGTCAACAGCCTGGGCACAGGGCGTACCGGACCGCAAAACATACCAGGTATGGCAAACCCCTCAAAACTGAACGGTGCCTTCACACGGCACTTCTCTTTGTAAGACTTGATTATCATGTCGTTAATCTGTCTGATCATTTTTCGCAATTGGGGACAACGCTCTGGGTCGAAGCCCGAGTCAAGAAATGATTTGATAGCTTCCTCTCGGCGGATGGGAAAGCCAGAATAAGGGTCATCATCCTGCGTCATATCGAAATCCTGGGCGATACTGAAGCTGTGCTCCGACGTTGACTCGTCCATGCTGAAAATATCTGTAGCATGGGGTGACACAAGACCTAATGCTCTGCTAAAATCTGGTCGTTGCCGACGAAGTTTAGTCGCTGCAGCCTTACTGTCCAGGAGGTCCCATATTTTTTCGCGTGATATGTCGTCGGTCAGGGACAGAGGCAGAATCTCCGACCGCAGACCCAACTCGAACAAATCTTCGATCACTGTCTGTGGAACTCCACCGTTATCTAAACAAAGGAGGATCTCCGAAGACAAAATCACAGAGGTTTTGAACATCGGGACTCGGACAAGTTCCAATATCTGTTGGGAAAGGTCCGGAGAAGGGAGAGCAATTTTCCGCTGGCTTGGTCGAATCCCTACACTGCACTCGCCGGATTGGTTATACGGGTGTCGCACCAGCTGCGACGAAGGCAGATGAATTCGCTGGATCAAGTCGGCAAATGGGATTGCTCACCATTCCCTTGGCACCATTGAGCCGCATTTGAACAGCAGAAGGCACCTCATCTAATCCCATAACACTCTGTATCCTTTGTGCCACTAAAGCGAATTGGCGATTTCAGTGTTGACGAAAAGTGGAAAAACACCTACACGCGAGGTTCATGTACCCACAACCATCGGTCATCACTTGGTGGTCTGGTGGTTTTGGGGATGATTCAGCTGCTGCGGACACTGTAATGTTTCAGATATTGTCTGCGGACGGACCAGTTGGGAACACGACAAACCAATGTCAGGCACTCTCCACTCAGCCTGCTGGTTGACACGGCAAATAGGGACGGAAAGTGTCATGCATAGTCCGAAGCGGGACGCCCATTTCGAGGCTATCTGCAGCGCAATATTCATATAAAACCATGTGCACCAACAGCATCCACACCTGAATGGAATTAACATCGACCGGATTATGCCAGTTAATCAGCTGCCATAAAGATTTTAAGTAGGGATCCTGGTTGAAGCTTCGTAGTCTCGATGTTTCCACGAGATACACGGTGGCATCTTTAGAGAATAACGCCTGGAAGACTCTACCATTGAAAAGAAAGCGTTGAGTAAAGAACTCTACGAGCAGCTCCCCGTCGCTCCTTATGATTGAGTCGGGAACGGAAACACGTATGACTCGCTTAGATCCATAAAACCTTGTGGCTCTGCATGATGGCCCCATATGGAGCTTTTGAAATCGGAATACGTATTTTTCTGATAGGGGGACTCGTTTAGAAGCTACAGCCTTTTGTGACAGTTCGAGGCATACTCGTTGAACAACTACCGCCGAGTGTTAGCGCGAGGATGGACGCATCAAGAAGAACGTGCCTTGGCCGCCGTATATCGGAGTGGGCGAGTCATTGATACCTAAACGTTCTGCTTCTGAGGAAGCATCTTCCCAATCCAATGCATGAAATACGTCGTTCGGTCCGCCTTCCAGTGCAAATGCGCTTGATGTTTGCACCTCCAGAAGAAACGCACCGATTTCTGGTCCATCTCCCACCCCGTTGCTCAACACGCCTTGGACAACCCTGTTGAACTGGCGTGCAGCAACGTTTGGACCTCTCAGCTGCTTAAGTAGGTCCGCGATACGGTCAGTCAGGGAAATGTCTTGGTCGAAAAGAGCTGCAAAACGCGCGAGTTCCCATTGGACAGCATCAGAAATATCGTATTCCATGATGTGCTTCAAAATAGCCTCATCATGATACAAGATACAGAAGTCGTTCCGCTTTAGTTGTTCAGCTCCTGAGAATGGAGGTTAGCGGTAATAACACCAACACGTGGCAAGCATCACCTGAATCCTCAGCAAAATTTGGGGCCTGTAATGATCATGTTGAACTCTAATGAATACCATCATATCGACCAACTCGGCTTACAGCTAACACGTCTCTGATATTGCGAGCACGTGCATCCAACAAAGCCTTCCTCGTTTCAGGGCTCATCGAATCCAAGATTTTCATACCAGGGCTCCGTTGACTCGAGACCTCGACATCTATACAGTGTGTCAGTTGAGGAAAAAAAAATAGGCGGGGTGGAAGTCATACTAGTGTATCTCGATGATTTGTGAGGAGTATTGTGAGGAGCTAAACACGAGTTGATCGCCCTTTTATGAAGTAACTGAGAAGAGTCCACTTACCTGGTTGGGAGGTCATTTCCTCGACTTGGCTGGGTCAGGATGAGAACGATGGAAAAACAAAAAGTACATACGAGAATCGTGGGTCCTTTGCCGCTTCTCTGGTGGACTGGAATCAAGCTCAGGACTTTTCCGTTTCGATGTCGGTGAATTTGATGATCTAGTGGGTAACGCCATGATATCCTCAGCAAGATGGATTTGTTGCAGCACAGAGTGAATGAACTTGATAAGTTGGAGGTGTGTGGATGGGATCCAGAAATGGCACGAGGGAGATCTTGGCTCCAAAACTTGTGGCGCTGGTGCGAGACAAGGTGAGATAAGGGTAAGACCCTAAATGTAGGCTTCAGCTGGGGGATTATAGATGTCAATTGGGAAGTTCCAACGCGTTGATCATCGCATCCTCACCTGATCATAAGTAGCAGTTAGAACGAAGCTTCAAGGACACCTGCCCATAACGGGAAATGAGGAATCTCGGCAACGGCCGCCCAGTGTCCTCCAACTCGATCCTCAAAGTCACAGCCTCGGGCTTGTCCCTTTTTCCTTCAACCTCTCTTCTTTCACCCCCTTCTCCAGGTGTACTTCTACTCTACACTGGGTTGAGCCATCATGTCCTCACAAATCCCTGTACGTACTTTTCCCTGTGTTGCGCTATGCAATGGGACATGTTGGCTGTATTGCTGACTATCGACGCGTTCAACACAGATCAGGCGTAAGCTAGTTATTGTGGGTGATGGCGCCTGTGGAAAGGTGAGCCTAGCATTTCTTCCATGCATATCTGTTTTCGGTCCCCTATGCCTTCCATAACAATCGCGCCTATGGTGTTCGTCTTTACTGAATGCACTTTTGACGTCCAGACCAGTCTGCTTTGCGTGTAAGCAGAGTTGTCACTGTAATATATTATCATAGGCTTATCGTGTTGTTAGGTTTGCTATGGGCGAGTTTCCGAAAGAATACGTGAGTGCACCACTGCACTTGGAGTCATCCAGAATATTGAGGACAACTTGTCGGTACAACTATACAGGAGCCGAGTAAGCCTCTCCTTCCAGATTCCAGTCATAAAAACACCTATCTGAGAAACTTTGATACAGCAATATTTGAAAATTACGTCGCTGAGATCCGACTGGACGGCAAGCCGGTGCAACTGGCGTTATGGGATACCGCGTAAGCAGTCCTTTTATAGCTCTATGAGAGGTACTGAAAGGGCGCCAATCTCAGCGGTCAGGAAGAATATGAGGTAAATGCGGAAGTCCAATCCCGATTAGTTTCCATTTTAGTAATTTGGGACCGCAGCGCCTTCGGCCTCTCTCCTATTCGAAAGCGCATGTTATCTTGATAGCTTTCGCTATTGACACCCCAGACTCCCTGGACAACGTAAGATTCAAGGTAGGTGTGGCCATTCGAGTCCTGTGCTTTATTGCTCACCTTGTCCATCTTGTAGTGGATTGAAGAAGTGCGCCAGATATGCGGGCCACACGTCCCCGTTATCCTTGTTGGTTGCAAGTCGGACCTCCGTCCACCGAACGCCATCAGTGGCGCTCCCCACGACGAAGACCTGCCTTATGTTACCCGAGCTCGAGGCGAACAAGTTGCGCGCGCGATTGGTGCGCGAACATACAAGGAGTGCTCTTCCAAGAGGAACCAAGGTGTCGACGACGTCTTTGAGGCTGCCACCCGGGCTAGCATGCTGCTCGGTGCTTCTTCCCATCACCATTCAGGATCTAGGGACAGGAGGCGAAGCGATGCTGCTGAGGACACCGGAAAGTGCTGTGTCATCTGCTAGGTTCGACTCGGCCACTGTATCAATTTGGATTTTTGCTCTTTGACGCGAGTATCATGACCTTTCTATGGCGAGTGCCTTAGTTTAAACGGCTTCTTCCATCCACTCTTCTGCTTGTTTTAGTTTCCTTTGAACGGTTTGATTCCTTCCCCGCTTACTCAATGCGATCTCTCTTTCTGCTCTTGTTTATGCACATGGACTATGTTTAGCATTCTTCCCCCAACCTCGACCCTCTAGCGTGACTCAATTGCTGTTATTGCATCACAGGTGACGCAGTGTCTGTACATTTGCCTATACGCAGGAAACAGAGCAAGTTGGGGGACTAGGGCGCGCGTGTTGCAATGCGTAAACCTGCAGCTGTGCCGCACCCGCGCCGTGCATTCCATCATCGTTAACAAGGTCACTGTAGAGAGACCTCATTCCTCCCCCAACAATCCTGGGGTCGAGATTGCTGAACGAACGCACTACAGCAGATTTAGCTAGCCTCCAAGTCATAGGTTGGCTGCAGCCTGCAACCCAGCTAAAGAGAGGCTGATTACCCAGCACGATTACGTAATACAAGGAATGACACAACTGCAATGGCAGGGGAGGATACAATGCTCCAGGTATTGCAGAACCCAAAGATAGATCAAGATCGAATGATCAAAATGATGCTTAAAATGCTCCAATCACTTAAGTTCATCGAATGACTGCGAAGAGGTGCTCATTCCGGACTGCCTTTGCCTCAAGAATGGCCTGGGTGATCGTCGGGATGCTTCTGATTCCGTCTTTATTGGTTTCGACGATCGTGAATTAATTGGTGACGCTCCATCAACCAGTGCGGGCGGGGCGTCTTGTGAAGTTATCTTCGCGCTGCTGGGGTCTGGAGTGGTGGCAGCGGGATTGGAGTCGGGATTCGTGTATGGCCTGCCACTCCCAGTTGTACATGAGGACACTCGATTGCTTATATAACCTGTTGCGCTACGGGGTTCGGATGGCAATTCAACTTCAGGAAGATCATCGTCAGGCTCAGCTGGGAGGGACAAGACAGAAGGGTCGTAGGGTGAATAGAACTACGCAGGTAATGCGGTGTCAGATGTTTCCAATACAAGGTAAACAACAGAGTATGTGCGCACCGAAACAGACATGGCACCAGCAGTCAATTGCAAGTCGCCTCGCCCAAGATACGTCTGACTACCCGAATCCATATCCAATATCGGCGTGACACCTGACCCGTGCCTTAACGAGATGGTGCTTCTTACACTTCCATCCCGAGACACCGTGCCAAGCCGTAGTGTCCGCTGGCTCGTAGGTCTTGCGGGCTGCTTCGTCCAGGGCTCGGGGATCTCTTCCTCTCTCAATTTGTAGCCATCATTCCTCTTCGTGGTGCTTGCCATTCGCTGGATGGCAGCGTAAAGGTTGCTACGGAGTGAAGCGGCCCAACCTTCCGCTTGGGGCGTCGACGGACGAAGAGCGTAACCATAACCCTCCGAAGCTATGGAGTAGACAGACGAAACAGCACGAGATAAGTTAGCGTCAGTACCACATCTATTAGACTTGTGGGAGCTAGCGGCAGATTGGAGCCGTGACAGCCTGCTTCCTGCATTCGCTTCGATATCGTGCAGCGACCTCTTTTCCCCTTGTTCCAGACTCAATGCAGGGGGCGGGGGAATAGGCAAACCCCCATCTCTCATGACTGACATGAAACGAGGAGCTGCTACCCTCGGCGTCCCGTACACAGCATCGGGAGGGAGTGTAAGACCAAGACCATCCATCGGCACATGACCCCCGCTCAAGGAAAGAACCCCTGCCTCTGAATTGAGCGACAGGTCGTCGTCCCCAGGATTCGTTACACGTAAGACTCGTTCGGCGTCCTCCATGGAGAGCTCCTCGTTCGGTAGCTCTTCGATATCCGGTACTCTCTCCATTTCATTAGATGAATCCCCCCGGATGCTCGAAAGATATTCTAGGCTATCCTCGTTCCGCGATCTCATACGAACTAGCCACATGACCCCGAAAAGCAAGAGGATTGTCGCAAGACAGCCACCGAGTGCAGCAGCGACCACAACGCCAGCTTTTAGGCTGCTGTTGCCGCTAGGACGTGACGCCAACGTAGGGGGCGCACTGGTGGTGGCAGTGGTGAAGAATGTAGCAGACGACGAAGATGATAATGGGAGCGCAGACGAAATGATGAAAGTCGTTGCTGGTGTCGGTGCAAGGTTGGAATGGGTGACAGAAGAACCAGGGCCAAGTGCGTAAGTCTGAGGGGAAAAATTAAAATCGGTTTGCGACACCGGCGCCGGTTCATGGGTCGCCAGGGAAGGGGACTGGCCCATTGATGAAGGCGTTGGTTTCAGGCCAGGAATTGCGTCAAAGGGCTGTTGATGATGCGTGAAAGATTGTGGTTCCTGTGTCAAAGGAGATGAAGGTGCCAGCAATGACAAAGGGTACAAAGACGGGGCAATAGAGGGCTCAAGAGTTGACGTTGGGTCGACCTCAACGATTGGTATGGGTGTGGACTCTGAACCATCAAAACCATCTTTAGCCGCCGTCTGACCACTCGAAACAACTGAACCCGGACGCTGAGGCGTGTTGTCGATGACGGAAGAGTTAACGCGATAATTCTGGGGAGGAACAGGAGGATCTCCTTCCACAGTGACCAGTGATGTCTGCGCATCCACCGCAACCACGAGCTGACGCTGGAGGGGATGCTGCAAATGAGTCGACTCATGGTGTGATCTTCTCCGAACATGTTTGTGCTTCAAGTGCCATTGATGCCGTTGAGGGTGCGTGTGACGAGATGGCCTAGGATGAAAGGGCATGACGATGAAGGCAACCACTGAGAAACGCAGAACGAAGTTTTGGGAGAGGATCCATGATGATAGACTTCCATAAGAGCGAGGATTTCGATCTCGGCTGACCCACGAGTCTCAAGCAGTTGTAACGGAATTAGCCGAATATATTAAGTAGGGGGTTTCAAGTTGAACTGCCAGCCAATCCCTAGACAAATTGAAACCCAGACTCTTGTGCCAGTTGCTCACGGGATTGTCCCCCTAGAAAGGTTGCCAATTTCACCTGGACCGCTTCCCGCTACGATGCCGATTAGTCGGACACAAAAGCGCAGTTGCACAATGGTATACACATTGTGCAAGACCGCACTTTTACACGAGATAAATATGGGGATTAATGGAGGGTTACGTAGTCGGCGGAGGGATTTCAAGCTGGTATAACAAACTTCAGTGCTGTGGCTGGGAGTTACAAGATTGTATCGTACAATGTAGTGCGCGATAAGTTCATTGACCACAGGAACGAGCGACAGTGATTCGTTTTTGAGTCATTATTTGAAGTTGAGCGATGCGCGGTTGTGCCGCGATGAAGACTACGGCAGGGTTACGAAGGCAGCTACTGGGGCGCAGCCTTCATCTCCAGCCCAATAACTCCCCCGCCCTTCCAATCCCATCCCTTCAAATCCTCACGACACACAGGACATCGAGCGTTGTTTGTACCCGGGGCAGGTCCATCCAACTCGCGCACCCTAGCGCTGCGTACGGAATCCCATAAACAGGATGCGCAAAGAATGTGGCCACACAGCGTCAATGTTGACATACGAGGCGGGGAGAGACAGATAGGGCACACATAACTGGACATTGGTGTGCTCTTCTTCTGCGTTGGTGATGATGACGATGAACTTCCAGGGACTGGTTGGGATTCCTCAATGGCATGTACAACGTCAGACTTTTGATCAGGCATTTCAACAAGTTGAAGAGAAGGACAGTGCCCCCAGTCTGAGTTAATGTCCAAACGCTCCCGCTTCCGATACAAGTCACAAGCAATATAATATGGTCCGATCTTGCCCGCGCATTCAATTGTTTCGGAGTGGGTGATCGGCCTTATGTTTAACCCCGTAGCATGTGACTTGCATCGAATAATTCAAAGCAATACAAACCGCGTTGTTTATTGCGCGCGTCCATGAGCGACCGAGTCTGGTTTGGCTCAGTTTCCATTTAGCCAGATCCTCATCTATGTTTCGATGAATCATCGATATCTGCGACCACTTCGACAACTTTCATTTCGATGGTGCTCGGAGTCGCTCGGTCAACGAACAGATAAATCAGGTGGTGTCCGGCGCCATGAATATCCCTTTGCCGCAGCCGTCTCGACTTCCGCGCCCAGCAGCCTTCTCCAGCAAGTTTTTGGCCACGCGGTGTGGCTGAACTGGAAACATCAGCCATATGTGCTGAAGTGACCAAGCACTCCATCCTTGAGTTCTAGAATAGACTTGGGCGCTGAGGGACCCTTCCAATGCGCGAATGGACTAAACCCATTTATAGTTTATCAAGCCCTTATCCAAGCGCAGGGACAGAGTCTGTCTATGTTCGGAATTATCTTGTTACAGCAACAGAATGCAGTTCGTCACAGATTTACTCTCTAGCTGAGATGGAAGACTAATTCCGTGCAATACAGTCGACATAGATATCGAGTTGGTTAGACAACACCATAATACAGCGTTGCCCGAACACCATTGATCAACCAGCTTTTCGGCGCTAGCCTTCCCATGCCCCAGATAATCCAACCCTTTCTTGAAGCCCAGCACCCCTGTGCCTCCTGAGTAGAACACTACACCTATTTCTCTTGCCTCAATAAGTTGAGGAAGACGCTTGTACCAGTTGCGCATCTCGTGGAAATCATCCGTGCCGGGTTGAAGAGCGGAATAGACGACAATCATGTCGCTGCGAGAAGGAATGGATGAAAACCGAGAACACATACGCAATACAATTATGTGTACAAGAGCATTAACAACCTGTTGAGTAGATCCTACATGAATGATATCGAAATTAGCACTGGAAAATTTAGCACTACATGGGGATGAGGGATATCCAGGGCTGCAGGATCCCACCAAAAGGCTCGCTGATTTCAGGAGCCACCGCCGAGCCCTTATAATCGCGCGTCACGTCTGCGCCCAGCCTCCTGAGCAACTCATGATTCCTTGGGAGATATGACCCGTAATCCGGATAGCTTAGCTAGCAATATGGCGAAGAGGCTGAGGAAGGTCGAACCCGCCCGATCAAAATCTATGGAGTTTGGAGAGCTCTGGTGGGGGTGTTCGTTGAGTATCCCACGCAGTGGTACAGGACCTAGCAAGGTTTGAGGCGGCATGTGAGGCATGATCTGTTCACCTGCACCGCGGTGGAGAGCGATGCTTCACATGCTACACGCATCGAGATAGGAGGGATGATCAGACTTACGCCAAACCTATACTCCCGTCAATCAGTTAAAAATTATTCCTGTAACGCTAACATTAAGTCATCTCGGGTCGAGCTTTTACAGATTCCAAAAAGTAAAGGTGATACGGAGCCTTGGGAAAAGCGCCATTGCTCCCGTCGATGTAGTCATCATGGACGAAGCCTGCTACAACGTCTCCAATATCGAACCCCTTTATGGAACCGGAGTCAGAGTTGTATTTCGTGGACCTAAACTTCCCCTTCCCGATTTCTACAATGACTCCTGCAAAGTTACTGCCAGTCGAGTCTCCGGGCTTTAGAAGTCTATCAACGTGCTCAATTATCCAGAAACCGATATGTTCAAGAAACGAGTAGGTATTCGCCAGTCCTCCAATCCGTGGGGTTGGGAGCAACTGCTTTCACTTTGATGAGCAGTTAATTTTGGGAACAGGCTGGTCATCGACAATTTTGACCTTTCCAGGTTCGGAAACTACAAGCGCACGCTGTGACAAAGAACTACGTTGAGAAGGCTATTCTCCGAAGAAAGGAGATCTCTACAAACCTGGGTAGAGAGGGCACAATCATGTTAACCAAGTCCACACTTGGGTGGTAAGGATCTGAAATTAGTTTGCGTATATACGTTGGACGGGTAGTAATATCAATTACTGTACTAACACGACCAACAACCGGTCACGCGTCACACGAAGGTCTTGGATTGAATTAAAAATCAACACAACTGAATTGATTGGGTGCCTCCGGCAATTCCCGGAGGCCGTGGGAACCGGTTGTTGGTCGTGCGAGTACAGTATCCCAGTACTCATGAGTCTGAGCGTGGTTATGTGTCTGTGTGGACTGAATGCGTAGAGATGCACGTAGCTATAAGTAATGTACACAATGTAAGTCAAAACGATAAAAAGAAAGGAATAACTGGCCTCATGACACACGCTGTGGCTCGGGTGAATACAAATCCCTTGCGGTGATATTACATAATTGCCTGCATTGTAACACGTGGCGGCGGGGCCCCATGTTCCTATTAAGTCCGGATCCTGGCTGATTAGTCCATAGCCAGCGCCTATTTCATCACCCATGACACGCAACAGCAGGGCTCCGCCACATGAACGCCCGACTGACTCGCCGCGCTCCTAAGACTTGTCCTGACTTGAAAGAAATACCCCGCGCGACAAATCTTCGGCTTGGCAATAGATTACGTAATAACATGATCTCAACTCGCCAGGGAGTCGCAGAACGCCAGTTCCAGTGCCAGGAAAATCCTACTCACATAAAAAACGGCATTTGACATTAATATGGACGTCCCTCGCGAACTCCTGATTGATATTCTGAAGATTCTTCATTTTCGCGATCTTGTTCGCGCTCGACAGGTTCTTTTCTTCGTTCTGGATGCTGACACCCAATTCCCCTAACGGACTGAGCTCAACCCCCAAGGTATGCAAGACATGGCTAGACACAATCGACTCCTCCAAGTCGCTCCAATATATCATCGAGTTAGAATGTCATCATTTGGTTGACGGTCCCCTTGGAAATGGACTCGGCACCATTACACGCCTACAAGCACTACTTAAGCACGAAGACCGATGGAAATTCCTTAAATTTACGAAGGAGAATATCATTCATGCTAATATTACATCTGTTCATGCGCTGGTTAAATCCGTTCTTGGGATCGTGGACGGAAAGTCCTTAACATTCTGTAAAGTGTGTCCTGGAGGATATTTTGTTATTTTCTTCTGACTAAAAACTATCACCTATTAGCTGCCCTCGGAGTCGTCTTCCCACTCCCAAATGATCACATGGAAATTCCACAATCTTGACACCATCCACCACTTCGGCATGGATCCCGACCAAGACTTACTCGTTCTAATCCAGCACCTCCCAAACGTTGAGTGAGTTCGTTCCGTTTGCGTAAGAGCGAACTATATATTTTGAAAAAATGCTTCTAGTTCCCAACAACTCAAGCTGCACCTGCGTACTTTGTCGAGCAACGAACTCCATCCTCAGGCTGCAAGCCATGAAATAGATTTCACCTTTGACATCCTGCCTGCTTGTCAAACTCAAATAATCGATGATTTAGTTGTATTATTTCTTAATCCTTGTCTGACAGTCATTGTGCATTGGAAGTCTGGGACGATTCAATCGGTGCGAAGGTCCACTGCTTGTACGCACGCAGAGGGTGAACTGATATTACTTTTTCAGGTTCTGAAAGGGAGTGTGTTATGCCCAGAGAAGGTTACCATACTATCTCCTCGCTTGATCGCCATAACGAGATGCTATGTTGACGTCTTTCGTCGGCGTGCAGCCGCTTTGGATGTTTACGACATTTCTGACACTGATCATGATGCGGACAATACCCTTGGTTCGAACGTATATCCTCCAAAGCACGTCGCTATCCTCCACTTGCCAAAATTCATGCAAAAGGACCTATGGAGCATGAGTGTATGGAGTGATTCGAATCCCTTATCCCGATATACTCCGCGGCACGGTTGCGCCGCGTACCCGAACTACCAGTCCCAAGAGGAGACAGCGTTTGCTGCAGGCCGTGGAAGCTTGCTTGTGCTGGGGATCGCCTTAGTTTACACACGGCGGGTCGAAGCGGTGGTATCATCGAGGACCTCATACTCCGGTTCATACAACGTCTTGGTAGATATCGATTCCCTCCTTTCCCTCGATTGCCTCCGATCGTCCCCAGAAATCGATGTATCATCAACACCCTCGAAAGAATCGTCAAAATCAGTCACTCATGTGCCGTGGTCACAATGGGCAAAGTTTACAACGTGGCTCCCTGCAAAGCGGTTCGCCAAATCAGGGGCCACCGTACAGGGTGATCGCTGTTGCACTTTAGTTGATTCGAATGCTCATGGCACACAAGTCGAAGTGCTCGATTTCAATCGCAATCGCATCAGGAGGGCCGAGTGCTTCAGCCCTGAGAACATGCCTAAACATTCAGGTATCCAACTGGAAAGGAAACCTGCTTTGCGGGGCGAACATGTTGGACTTGTCGATGGAATAGATATCAATTCAATACCACCGATCGCAGAACAGTTTCTTGAACGGGACCCGATCAGGATACCTTATCTGGAATCGAAGGTTACGATCCCCTTCTATCCTGACTCGTTCGAGGCTTCCGGTGTTATGATCGATGAACAAGGCATTATCCTCTACGGGGTGAGTAACATGTGTCTTTTAGCTAATTTCCTTCTGATCATCCCTTTAGAGGGTGGGCCGCCTTGGGAGTCTGCGAATGATATATCGCATTTTCACTCTCTAAACAGCTAGCGCGTATAGAAATAAAGGCAGTTCGTAACGGCGGAATTTAATAACTGGCCAGTGGTACCCTGAGCAACAAGCCAACTCAGAGACACATTGATGATTGGATCGCCAGGTTGAGGCCTACATGCCAGTACTCAAAGATATTTACCAGGGTGTGGATGGGACGTGATGCATTACATTGAATGATATTTCATCAGGATAATTGACACGGGGTGAATCAACTCATTAGCTTCTATTGTCCACACATCGGATGACTGGCAAATGTTCACCAATCCCAACAGTCAGCCTTTTCACCATAGAGAATGGGCTTCTGCTGTAATGCATAGCGAATGTTGAAGCGTCTAGGGAAGTCATCGAACAACACTGAAGACCGTAGCAACGCTGCGTACCCCCGGGGAATCACAGAGTAAGTTGCGGAGGAGCAACCATGCGCCACAATGAGGTAGTGATTTTCGTGCGGTAATCTCTGGCCGCTTCGAGTTCGACGAGGTTCGTAGAATTGTACATTGACAGACGAAGTATGATCACCTAATTCAAGAAAGAGCGATAGAACTGGCACGTCAGGGTCAGGACTCTTGATGCTTGGATTTACGAGGGCATCCCCAGCTGGTATATTTTTGCGGTTCTTAATTTGCACTTGGAGTGCAGATGTCTTCTTTCGCTCGATGGGCTGTTGAGCGTAACAGTTGGCAGCAGCCCCACGCAAAAGCAACTTGGATAGATATTCCACTTGGACTGCTTTGTCATCTCCCAGCTGGACGAAGTGTGAAAAACTGATATAAGAGTTTTCATATGCACTTTCAGGGGTCTTTGCACCCTCTTGAGCAACCACAGGAAGTGCATCGAGAATGGTGTCATGATGCCTATTGTGGAAAAGGAGTCGAGCACCTTGATATGTACATGGAATACTGGGTCAAACTCATATGATGGATTATCGCGCATAATGACCGCATCATGGGCAATGGTCATTAGCAGACGTCCCACAGCCTCTCCACGCTCAAGAATCCTTTCACCATATGCAGCCTTCAGTATGTTCGGTCCTTTGAATGCAATGGGTGGTAGGGGTGTCTCAGAGCCTCCAAGGTCCTTTCGGTTGAGCAACCGAGCTACAGCCTCAACACATTGGATGACCGGCAAGTGTTCACCAAATCCAAGATTCACCCTTTTCGCCATAGAAAGCCGGCTTTTGCTGCAATACCTGGCGAATATTGCGTTTTCTTGCGAAATCACCGAGCAACACTAGATCCCGCAGTAAGTAGGAATACTTGGTATCGTACTCTGGGGGAATTACTGAGTAAGTCTCGGAAGAGCATCCACGCGCCACGATGAGGTAGTGATTGTCATCCGGTGATCTGTGGTCACTTTGGGTCTCACAAGATCGTACATCGACGAACGACGCCTGAGTACCCAATTCAAGAATGAGTGATAGGACTGGCACGTCAGGGTCAGGACTGGTGACTCTTGGATTCACGAGGGCATCCCCAGGTGGTATATATTTGCGGTTGTTGATCAGCACTTGGAGCGCAGATGTCACTTTTCGGTTGATGGGCTGTTCAGGACCCCCCAAAAGGATCGGAATGACGAAATCAACAGGGGACTGCTGAGCATCGCAGTTAACAGCAGCCCCACGTAAAAGTATTTTGGATAGATATTCCACTCGGGTTGCTTTGCTATCTCCCAGCTGAGCGAAGTGTGAGAAACTAATATAAGCGTTTTCATACGCACTCTGAAGGGTCTTTGCACCCTCCTGAGCAGCCACAGGAAGCGCATGGAAGATGGCTTGGTGATGGCTTTTGTGGAAAAGGCATTGAAGGAAGTCAAGCACCTTGATGGGTACATGATACACCGGCTCAAACTCGTACAATGGATTGTCGCGCATAATGACAGCATCATGGGCGATGGTCATCAGCAGACGTCCCACGGTTTCTCCACGCTCTCCACGATTAAGAATCCCCTCACCATATGCCGCTTTCAGTATATCTGGCCCCTTGAACGCAATTGGTGGTAGAGGAGCCCCGGAGCCAATGGGACCCTCTCGGTTGAGCAATCGAGCCGCAGCCTCGGCAAGCACGGGTTCGGAGGGATAGCCTGAGTATATGAATTCATGATGCTCCGAGACAGCATAGATGATCCGCATATAAGTCTGGACTAAAGTTGAGATCTTTGACCGCGCAGCTTCTCTCGCAACGTCAAAAGAGAGATGAATCCTGATGTCAAGGGATGCAAGCATAGCAGATGCATCCGTTTCATTGCTAGTCTCATCTTTACATTGGGATCGAAAACCCTTATCGCCCATTGGATTGAGTTTTTTCACTGCGAACGTAAAGATATTCTCAGTGGTTTCTTGCAGGTTCTCATACATCGAGTACCACCTAGATGTCACGCGCCGGTTAGAGTGGTTTCGGGATTGTGTGTAAAGCACTAACAGGGGCCTACCAAAACGAACCAGATTACCACTGGAGCATGCTGCCGCCAGTGTGATTAACGAGTCTCCTCTGTCGAGGGCAGCGCACTGGCCCGCTGAGAATATGTCAAATGGCAGTAATGTGTACGGAGGCAATTCTTCCTTTTCCCAGTCCCTCGCCGATGGATGAACAGCGACCTTAGGAGCCAACGGCCTTGATTCCGCATTTGTAGACAGGAATAAGGTGAAAAAAGGCAAATGGTTGACCCGACTCAAAACGCGCCCAAAAGCGTGATAAGCACTCCGATCTCGCAACCCACTTCCAGGCCCAAGCTCCTCAACGAGATTGTGGGCCCCATCGATATAAAGGAAGAAGGCACAGTGATCCCAGTCATCCTTTTTCGATGGCGGTGTCCCCGGGCCAGGGTAAAGTGCCAGTTCAAGGAGCTTGATGGCATCAGCAAGTTGTGCTTGCAGGGTCGGAAAACGTGCCCCAACCGATGATGTCCGGGAAACGCCTCCTGCTTCTGGAGACACAGATCTCATCAGGTCCTAGGGGAAAATGTGAGTTCAGGGAACGATGTCACATATGGCACAAGTACCATTGCCCGATTAATTACATCTCCATAGAACTTCTTCCGATTCGGACCCATCTCGCGGAAGCTCTGACCTTCAGCAAGGTATGCACGCCACCTCTTTGCAATTCTGGAATGGGCCTTTAATCTGAACGAGCGAACAATAGGTCTTGCAGTGTGGAACATTTGTATCAGAAAACAGGCATATTTGACATGTAGGCTGTCGTTCGTGTCTGTTACTTGCGGGAGGAGAAATTTCCGGACATCCTCATCAGCGGGTGGGTAAGCTGCTCAAGGTGCTCAGCGAACATCGTTGGAAGCGATAGACAAAACAATTTACTCTCCACCGACTTCTGCAATGACTCCCCTATGTTCAGGGGGAATGCAAACCTTTCTTCTGCAACCTTGTCCATTAAACGAGACTTGCCACACCCGGAAGACTGTATGATGGTTATTGAGCGATTGTATGGGCGTATATTCCTTGAGCAATAACCATCCAAGGTACCAAGTAGCAAGCTGTGATGTGAGCCAACGTACTCTCGAGCGAAGGATTGAAAAGTTGCTGAAGGGAGAAGAGATTAGGAATCACCAAGGGCAACAGCCTACGTCCCCTCCTTAGTTTTTCTCATGATGAAATGGACATAGGTCTGGAAAATTATCGATTCCGTGACTTACTCCAGTCGGTTGGGTTTTCATTTTTGGCCATTCCAGACGGGGAAGCTTCACGCCCGCCATCACGGCGAATCCTCGGTCCCACTGCACCACCGGTCAGTAACGGTTGTTCGAATGCTGGTTGGTACATACAGTGCTTGATCAACAGAGGCCAATCGCCGTCATTGAGGACTTTCATTGCCACATCCTTGCATTCCCTGCGCTCAGTGTCGCTAAAGCTGTCCACGATCGAGTCTGCTCGCTCGGGACTCTGAACGTCTTCGAAACCTGCGGCTGATAACGCTAACAGAAGTACACTCAGAAGGGTCCTAAGGAGGGGAGTCCATGATTGATCATCCCCTCCCCAACGAGTGTTGTTTCGGAAGGTGCTACGGAAACTTTCCATGTTCACTGTGGCCGTTTCCAGTTGATTGTTGCGCAGATCTGGACTGGGACGCAGTAATGCGGAACGCCTCGCAATAGAATCAACTTCCATCTCCTCGTTTTGAGACATTGATGATGATGATGATAAAGATGATACTCTATCTTGACACCCCGCAGCCTCGTGATGACGTGGCAGTGCGGCTGTCCCAGTAAACCTAAAACATCCCGCACAAATCACGTGTTTGACGAATATGAAAATGATGATGTTTTTTTGAATCCGCCAATTACAACATTCACTGCGTTTAGAGGATCAATATTCTTGGGCCGAATAGTACAGGAATAGTCGTGATATTATTGTGCGCACTAGACCACTACAGAAAAGGACAGGAACAAGACAGAACTCCTGCAGCGGATTTATCAGGAATAGTGCAGGGATTTAACAGACCTAATTTAGGGCATGTGGCTAGCTGATCCTGGTACTATTCGTGCTGAATACTTCCAAGAATATTCCACCTAAACAGATCACGATGTACATACACACAAACAAAGCTTCGGCTTTAGAGATTTGGCTTTAAAGATTTGGCTTTTCGCCCACTATTGATGTACATACAGATAAACGAAGCTTCGGCTTTTTAGACCCGAAATGGTAATCCGGAGCACTGGTACGGCTGGCATTTTTCTGCTATATAGCATGAATATCCAGTATCCTCAAGCCAGTCCCCCCTCCCCCCAAACCCGTAGCACTAAAGCACTAGCACTAGTAGCATTGCATTGGGCAAAAACCATGAATTTGCATCCTGAAGGAAATCCTCCCGAGCCCGGTCCAACTGTCCACACACTGCAAAAAACGTAATCAGCACCATTACTTGGTATGATAACACCGCATGTACCATACCTGCATCAACTAGTAACCCATACACACCAGCCTCCCAGAATATTAACAATACGCTGACGATGACGTTGCCCTTCATGTGGCCAGGGATGAATAGTGGTACTACTGCTAGTACTAAGATAGACGTTCATAAGTCGTCACTATATCGGCTATTTCCGAGAGTGGCAGTGTGGGTCACAGGTGGCAAAAGTTTCTGGACATTGATGTGATGAAACTTTGATGACCCAGAAATGTAATATTTATCTACTTGATTACATGTTCTTTACAATGTCACCGAGTTTTCCTGGCCACAAATTCCTTTGCAACCTCTTGCATTGCCTCAGCTGGCAGTCCACAATGGCCTCTGTATTTTTTGATGGCCCATGCAGCCTCATGGCCATTTAGACCACTGTCCATGTACCGCAATGAACAGTTTGCAAACCTGTAAATTAATATTATGTGGTAAAATACAAAATAATGAGAGGGAATTGTCATATCTGTACATACCCGATCCCGATCCGACTCCTGGACCCCCATCTTCACCACCTCTGGAGTCCTACCCTACTGCTGTCCATTCCGATATTCACCCTTGGACCTGACACCACTCCTCCTGTTACAGGAATGGGTTCTGGGGAACCCAACCTGAGCTGTTCTGCTCATGGACAGAGGTGGCTGCATAGCCATTGAAGGGAGAGCAGGAGGAGATCTGAGGCTGGGTGTACTAACGGTAACTTGGCACTCCAAGGAGTGTACCAGCAGCGGGTATAATGGGGGCTCCTTGAGGGAGCCACCTAACTGTTGGCTAGCAGTGACTTGGCGCTCATGTGAGCATACCAGTAGCATGGGTAGTTGGCACTTGTCATATCCGTGCATACCCAACCCCAACCCGACTCCCGGACCTCCTCCTTCACCACCTCCGGAGTCCTACCCTACCACTGTCCATCCTGATATTCACCTTCGGTCCTGGCACCACACCTCCTCTCACCCCCATGCCACCTCCACTCCTCTGTCCCTCTCCTGTCCTATCTCCGTCCGCTCCGATACTCACCTCAGACCGAACACCACCTCTCTCGCCACCCTATTTCCTCTCCTCCACACCTTTCCTCTGCTTCCTCCCCACCACACCTCCACCCTTCTGTCATCCTCCTACTCTTCTTCCATCCGCTCTGATACTCACCTTTGGACCTGACACCCTTCCTCTCCTCCACACCTTTCCTCCTCCCTCCTTCCTCTCTCTTCCCTCTGGCCCTCTTCCGTTGACCCCCCACCAAGTTACAACCTTCCGCTGCTGTCCCGTACCTCGTACTTGGACACCGCTCGTACCTTTGCTCTGAGCCCCTGTCATAGCTCCTACCTCGGACTTTGACTCCACCTCGGCCTTAGTCCATTGCATTGGTGACCTCATCCTACGTAAACACCATTGCCAATATTCCTCAGACTTTCAACCCCACCTCCATAACCTCTGTAAGCTCTGCAACCTCCGAGCTCCACGGATCACCTTCGGCACTTTCACCGCTTGTAATGTATCTCTCGCGTTTTTCCCTCATCCCTATTTGGACTGCTGCTTCTTCCCATTCTAGCCAGTTAGTCATCATCCCCACTTCCCCTCATCCTCCTGCCCCTCTGGGCCTCGCCCTCCTAACCTCCTTTTGGACGTACCACAGGTTCTGCCTTATGACCTTTGGTACCGCTCTGCTTCTGTCCTCCCTTTGTTCCCGTTCGGACACCTTCATTCCGATTCAGATCCCCTTTGTTTCCTTGTGCTTTCACCCTCTCCATTATATATATTGGCACTTGTACATACTCGTTTTAGTCCTTAGTCTAAAATCGACCTGAAATGCCCCCTAGAGACTTCCTGCTTGCCTACTGTGAAATTAAGGACCAAATGGACAAACAGCAATGGCACAGCGCTCCGCTTGAGTCGCTGAGGCCAAGGTCTCTCCTTGCTAAGTCTCTGGTTCCCCTCCGGAATCGTCCGCCCTCACCCAGTTCTAACAGCACTCCTTGAGGGAGCAGCCCAGTGGTCGACTATTGGTTACTTGGCACTCAGGGGAGTGTACTGGTAGTGTGAATTGTTGGGACAAGTGGGTTGGTTGACTAGTGCACGGTAGTGAGTGACCGTGGGAATTTGGGCCTGCAGGTACATGGCCAAGCATCCTGGGGCTGCTTGAGTCACTTCTCCCTCCCAAGAAGGGAGGAAAGGCTGTAGGACCCAGTAGGGTACTACAGGAAGGGTAGGAATGGGAGCTCAACCACCCAGTGGGGGGTGGGAGCAGGAAGGGTGAGGTCCAGTGTCTGAGCACTCACCGGGTCATTGAGGTTTCCTCATGGATTGTAAGAATATTGATGTAGACATCAATATTGACCAAGTCAGATGTTACAGGGAAGGTTTACAGGTGGTGATAGTCTGAGATTGTATATTTCATCAAGAGAACAATTCCGGCATCTGCCTTATACATCATATGACTTCTAACTATCTATGTCGGAAAATCCTGTATATCATTTAAATGCCTGGGAAATGTTTCATGGCGTTTATTTACAACAACTACCCAACAGCCGATGAGAATACATTGGTCAGATGTGGTGGTACTTTATGTGTTATATGAGACGGATTTTTGATGATTTTGATGCTGTAGGAAGCATTTATGACACATTTATTAAGTTATTAAAAACATATTCAGAGTGTTTGAGGGGTATAAAAACGCATTCAATAATATCAAAAAACGCCATAAACAATTTATCACAACGTTTAGATGCCAAAATTCACGTTTAAACGTCAAATTTTGGCATTTTAAATGTCAAGTCTCATGCTTTTGATCGATCTCGTGATTTTCCGACATAATATAAAAATCACAATGGTCAAAGGAAGTCCCTTGAAACTCAACAAATCCCCCAGCCAGCATCAAAACCCAGTGGGAAAGCTTGGCATGGGGTTTGACAAAGAAATAAAGTTGGAGGGGCTAAGGTTTGATTGTCTATAGTCACGGACCATAAGATTCTAGGTCCATTCCGATAACACCTCCTCTTACCCCTCCTCTTACCCCTCATGTCACCTCCACCCTTCCATCCTTCTCCTACCTTATCTCCATTGAAGGAGCGGAGCTGGATCACCTTATGTAACCAGTTTCCTACATCCAATAACGATATTAGAGTTTGTGCTGATTTGCTTACTGACCATGTTTTGGTTGCCAAATATATAATTGTTCACTGTCTAAACAACAATAAACACCCCCCCCAACGATCTCACCTGACGTATAGATCGTCTATGGATAAATTTCTATATTGACTTTACTATGATTTCTAGTCAATATTACACCTAGATTTACCACTTTTCAGTAGGATGTGGTTTTCCTGATAATTTACTGAAGGAAAGCTACTAATAGAATAATTCCGCAATAAATGTTACTCAATACAGGAGTGACCAAACTGCTCTTTCTATCACTTAGAGTGCGTGCTAGTTATCTAGCAGGTTCAGGATCGCTCACTTTTCTCCTGTGGTGTGATAACCAAGTATTGCTGAGAGATTATTCAATTAAGAAGTCCCTCCACCAAATTCTCACTAATTCTCACTATGACACTTTTGTTCAGCTGTGTCTAACTGACCCTAACTCACGCTTAGAGTGATGTGTTAGTTTTATATTAGCTAACAACTAATATTTGCTTTTATCTTTTGGAGCAGAGGAACCAACCACTGGTGAGGAGGATTAAACTTTTATTTCTACCTGAGGTTTGAGAGGGGGCAGAAGCGGCGGCCTTTTATGCTTTTCAGAGGCCTCTCTACTCCCACGCCTCACACTAGTTACATGTGCTACATTTGTATTATAGATAGTTCTAGAATGATATAGGGGCTTGGGCTGTGTAAGCTTAATAATGGACTTAGGACATGACTCAGCAATAAGTAATTCAGTTCTTTGTCTTTTGGGCCGATCTTAGCGGGGTCTTGTAGCGCTGAAGCTATGCTCTACACCGCCTTAATTACGAACGGTTATCTTTAGAAATGACTTGGCTATAAAGGAACTTTCTAGACTGTTCTCTAATTCACCCCTTTTTGTGAAGCCACATCATTACTAATGTTCTAGAGCTTTCCCAATTAATTAACTGATCCGCGGACTTCTGAATCACTTTATGCTTATGATCCGAGATCCAGATCATCAATAATTCCTTTGTTCCGATTTATTTGAGCTTAAAATCAAAAAGTTTTGATGAATCATGGGAAAATATACAAGATCCGGTTTTTTAGCATTTTCTCCTCTTCTGATGCGATCAAAAACTGTCCGCCTGCGCCGGGGAATACTCTGTCATATGGTATTCGGTCCGCCAGACTTCCGGGCGCCAATATATTTCCCTTGAGTCACATTACTTTTTATAAGAATCAGCAAACAAATATATATGAACTATAAGGTGCTCCACCGTTTGAGCGATATCTCCGTCAGTTTTGAAGCTTTTAGAATGAAACAAAACCGTGGATAAAGTTTAGAAACAGTCCTTTTAGATGGTAAAAATATTACAGTCAAAAGTCTACTGGTTCCCGAGATATTTACATTTCTTTTCCAATGTTGCTTCTTATTCTGCCGTCTATGTGCTATTTTCTTGTTGTAGGGATATGTTCTTTGAATATTACACCTATGCCAGGTTCTAGGCATGCTTGTAGTAGATTAAATCTCATGCTACATGGGTGTAGATAATTTATAATGATCTTCTAATGTCTGTCCAGTCTCATAAAGATCATGAGATCTGTTAAACGTCTGAACTTGTCACCTGTTTGTTGACTATTCTGATAGATCATTGTTTTATTCTTTGAATATTATTTCTCCTACACCGTCCACTCCAATACTCACCTCGGACTGAACACCACTCCTCTCGCCACCCTCCTCTTACTCCTCTTACTCCTCACAACACCTCCACCCTTCCATCACTCTCCTACCTTATCTCTGTCTGCTCCAATACTCACCTTTGGACCTGACACCTTTCCTCTCCTCCACTCCTCACCCTGCTCCTCTCTCCTCTCTCCTCCTTCTGACCCTCTTCCACCAAACCTCTGCCAAGTTATGGCCTTCTGCCGCTGTCCCTTACCCTGTACTTGGACACTGCTTGTACCTTCGCTCCAAGATTCCATCATAGTTCCGACCTCGGACTTTGACTCCACCTTGGCTTAAGTCCATTGCATTGGTGACCTCATACTACATAAACACCATTGCCAACGTTCCTCAGACTTTCAACCCTGCCTCCGTAACCTCCATAAGCTCTGTAAGCTCTGAGCTCCATGGATCATACTTGGCACTTGCACTGTTTGTAATGTATCTTTCACGTTTTCCCCTCATCCTTATTTGGACTGCTGCTTCTCTCCATTCTAGCCAGTTAGTCATCATCCCCACTTCACCTCATCCTCCTGCCCCTCTGGGCTTTGCCCTCCCTATCTCCTTTTGGATGTACCACAGGTTCTGACCTATGACCTTCGGTACTGCTCCACTTCTGTCATCCCTTTGTTCCTGTTTGGACACCTTCGTTCTGATTCGGACCCCCTTTGTTTCCCTTGTGCTCTTGTCTCCCTATTATATACAGGCGCTTGTACATACTTGTTTTGGACCTTCAGTCTAAAATCGACCTGAAATGCCCCCTAGAGACTTCCTGCTCGCCACCTCTGAAATTAAGGACCAAATGAACAAACAGCAATGGCACAGTGCTCTGCATGAGTCACTGAGGCCAAGGTCCCTCCTTGCTAAGTCCCTGGTTCCCCTCCGGAATTGTCCGCCCTCGCCTAGTTCTAACAGGAATCTTACTTGCACATCGTAGTTATTGGCACTGAACCCAATGCCTTTTGTGAATTGATTTCAATGTCTCTGACCTTCTTTGATGATGGTGGAGATTCACGATAGACCTGCTTGGAATATCCCCATACTTGCTCAATAAAATTAGGCTCACAGTGGAATTTTGGGAGAAATAGAACACCAAATCCAGCAGCTTCGCAGCATGTTTGAAGGAGGGATTTGACATTGAGGAAGTCATCTGAGTGGAAAAGAATGTTGCGGCAGCAGCATTGTGCTGCTGTACCATGACATTTGAATTTATCACACTGTGCATGAAGCCCAGTGACATCGTAACCTCGTTCTTCCAAAATTTTGGCCATCTCCTTGAAGTATCCAGGATATTTGGGGTGGTTGTCAGGGTAATATAGACACTGAGTTTGACCATTCCACATTGTGTCTGCCATCTGCTTAGTTGTCATTTGGGGTTTCCCATCAGCCCAGTATATTATTGCACCGCTTTCATTACATGCAGCCACAGATACCCCCCATCCCAGCTTAGGGCCCTTCAGCATCTTGACTGCTGACAAGGCATCATCGGCATGCTTGGAGTGAGTACAAAAATCAGAACATGGTCATCATTGGGATAGTGCTCCTTCAAGATCTCCATGGCCTTTGATACTTGCTTGTCAGGGGACGGACCCTGGGTCCCCATGACCCCTCTCTATGGCCCACAGGCTAACCTGTAACAGCAGCCCATCTCAGGGCATAACACTACTGTGGGTAAGAACATCAGCAAAAGTCCGTTATGCTCCGGAGCATCAGGAGTGGCTGGAGCATGTGGGAGACAAAACAGCAGATTGGGCACTCCTGGAGCCAATAGTGTTCTCCTGGGAGGGGGTTCAGGAGTGGCTGGGAGTGGTGAGGAGTATGCAATGTGCCAGGAGCAGTGGGAGGAAAATTTTGGTCTCTAAAAAGTTGAAAAAAAAAAATTAGGGAAAAAAATCAAAAAAATTCAGGAACTATAGTGCCTTTAAAGTGATTTCAGGACATATAATTATTTGCAAAATTGAGGAAGAAATATGGAAAATACTTTTGGAGACCCGAGAAGTAATGAGAACTGAATTGATGGGAAAGTCTGAAAATTGAATAGGAAAGTGAGGGGAAGCCTTGTAGCATTGTTATTTTCTGCTGTTGTGATTTTTCCTGATTGTTCTTGGTCTCACTCTCAGCTGCTCCTGGACCCTCCCAGGAGCTTTCAGGAGCTTCCAGGAGTATTGAGGAGCAGCTGGGAATGAGACCAAGAAGAATCGGGAAAAATCACAACAGCAGAAAATAACAATGCTACAAGGCTTCCCCTCACTTTCCTATTCAATTTTCAGACTTTCCCATCAATTCAGTTCTCATTATTTCTCGGGTCTCCAAAAGTATTTTCCATTTTTCTCCATCATTTCTTCCTCAATTTTGCAAATAATTATATATCCTGAAAGCACTTCAAAGGCACTACAGTTCCTGAATTTTTTTTGATTTTTTCCCTAATTATTTTTTCAACTTTTTAGAAGTCCCTATTTTTCAAATTTTCCTCATTTCCCTCTATATTCCCCCTCATTCTCCCCCTCATTTCCCCCTCATTCTCCCCCTCATTTCCCCCCTCATTCTCCCCCTCATTTCCCCCTCATTTCCCCCCTCATTCTCCCCCCTCATTCTCCCCATTTCCCCTTCCTCCATATTCTGCAAGTCTGAAAGTGATTAAGTTGCCAGATTAATCATATATCAGGCCATAAATTTTGACTGTGTATTGGTGAGTCTCAGTGTCCTTGATGTATAGTATAGTGTTTGACCTAAATGTTAAGTAGTGTCTTGTTGTGTTAGTCTTGTGGTAGGAGGTATTCATGGGGAGTCTTCCCTCTTTTTTTTTTTCCTTTTCATTTTCAAATGCTCCAGGAGCTCCCAGAAGCTTCTCACCCCTATACATTTTGAAGCATTAAATTGTATTTACTGGATATGTTTGTGCACAAAGCAATGCTCCATGCCCTCCTGGGAGTGCCCTGGAGTACCTGACCAACTCCAGAGGAAATGAGCTGTTCCTGGACTGGCCAATCTCCTCCTGATTCTCCCAGTGCTCCCCATACTCCGGAGCACTCAGGAGCATAACAATTTTTTGCTGATGAAAGCGAGAAGAAGGTTAACTTCTCACTTTCCCACAGTGGCCCAATATGGCAAAAACTTCCGGGGATACCCGGAAGTCACATGAGAAGTGGGAACCGGGCCCGGAGCATGCGGCGCTGTAGGCAGGATAATTGCCCACGTGCAGAGCTGGCTCGGATACCCGCTTCCACCATTCAGAAAACCCCTTCCATCTATGTGACGACTCAGTACAGATTTGGTATCCAAAAATAGTGCTAATTTGTACAATTCTGACGATATCAAGAACGTCCCAATCGGTGGAGATTTGACAGAGTTCTATGTTGGGCAAGTTAGGCATGGCAGGTCACGAGTATGTGCAGGCGTGGGAATCTCAAGCGGCAACCCAGAATTCCAGCCTCACTCGTTCCCACGGCATCTAATAAATTGGTAAAAATGCTCGTTGGCTGTGTGAGAGTTATCTCCGGCTTCATTTCCAATTTTGGCCTTTAATTCCGTAAATCCGTTGAGATATCACTTATTTTCTTATATTTTCATATTTTTGCATCATTTCAGTTATTGATCAATATTCTTTTATTGATACTGTTACCCTTTTTTATTATTTCGCCTAATAAGGTACCCAGGTGCCATATGGTACCAATATTCCCATCAATTATTCTAAAAATAATTATTTCTTATAATCCTGTACATACTGGATTTGTGAAAAAAAGTTCTCCCCTCCCCCAAAATTCTCTAAGGTGCTAGGATGCACTAGAGTGGGTGTGAGTGAGTGGAATTCCAACAGTAGGAATAAGGGCAGCTGTCTAGCTCACAACGAGTGAGTAGTGGATGCTGAGCCCGGACCTTGCGGAAATCCCGGAGAACCCACACGGAGTTAAGGATCGAGAATGTAGCGAGTTTAGTGGAGAAAGTAGAGTTTAGGGAGAGTTGTCCCCCATGAGCTGTGTCGGCATTGAGAGCCGTGAGCCCTCTTTCAGTGTGCAGAGCACACATGCGGGTCCGGGTCCGGGCTAGTCAGGGTGTGTGCCCTGACATTGCTCAATCACATCATCATTGGTGAAGTATCCATCTCTATTACTTCCCAGCCTAAGCATAACCCGAGCATTGCAGCCATCATGACCCTTCAACCAGCCATAATCAGCTGAGACAAAGTCAGCAATCATGACTGACGCACCTTCACCCTTGGCATAGGGCTTCACGGTCTTGGAGTTATGAACCCAGCGGACCTTCTGATGATCAGGTGCACAAAAAATTGACTCATCATGGAACCAGGCAACAATGCAATGTGCTGTGGAAGAATCAGGTATTTCTTCCCCATTTTCATCCCATTTTCTCATTGACTTCTCGTATCCAGCCATTGCAGGCAGAAACACATGCTGTTGATATTGGACCACATCATCCTGCTCATGGCCATCAGAATATTGCCCCCTTTTCTCCCTCTGCCAGTGGTATCCCAACCCCTTTAGCTGCCGTTGAGCTGTTTGGACAGATATTGGCTTGTTTCGACTCAGCCGCTCACGCATTTCTGGAGTGTTCAGAAAGTGAACAATGTCCATTGCTGAAATATGTGGACCAAGGCTCCGAAGGTGAGCCTCAATCTCATGCCTTAGATCCTCATCTGTCACAAGGATTGACTCATTCCACTTTCCATAGGGATTTGTTGGAATTGTTTCAATGTTGGCCATGAAATCATGACACCACCTCTGCAACTGAGATGCATATGACGGTCCATGGTTCCATGAGGTTGCAACCCACTCTGAAGCACGAATCCAGCCAACATTCATTACACTCACTCGGCCTGAGCTGTACACATGGAACAACTGGAGCATTTGCTCCAGTCTCATTCATGTTAAGTTGTCCAGATTTGAGCACTTATGACCAGCACCTTTTTTGCAGGGACAGACAATCTCACTGAGCATTTTGGCAGCATCCTCTGTGGTTTTCTTGGATGGGGCAGGGATGAATGGATGGGAATGATAGTGGGATGATTGTCCTTCACTTGCTGTCTGACTAGGTGAGTTGGTTTCTGTTGCTTCGCATGTTTTGGGTGGTGGGCTCGGACATGAGACACTCACACATGTCAGTTCTGACACTTCAGCCATCTCAGAATCACTGTAATTTGGAAGAATCAGACCATCAAGATCTTCAGTATTTCCATATCCACTGAGCAAGGCATTGTTGCTGTCAGCATCTGAGTCACTGATGTCCCCAGAAGGAGGCTGGAGGTAGAGAACGGGCAGAAGGACCATGGCCTCAGCGACTTGGAGAGGAGTGCTGTGCCTACATTTGATAATGCTTAAGAGTTGATCCCTAACTTCAGAACAAGGGGTGCAAACTCTGGGGATAGTCTAGTTGATTTTGCACTGAGGTGCCATCAACTACAGTACAGGACTTATATACATAATAGAAGACAAATGAGAACAAAGGGGAAAACCCAAGAGAGACTTACCCACTTGCTGGGTTGGTGAGCTTGTGAGAGAATCGCCTTATTGAGCATTGTGGAGTGGGTAGGTGAAGGGTGGAATTAGCGACAGCTGCTGGAAGTGGGAAAACCTTTGTGGGGGTAGCAGAGGTCCTAGGAGGTCCGTAGTAATATTGGGTAGGTAGAAATATTAATAAACGTTTAAGATGAGGATAAGAGATACCAGAGAAGGTACCAGAGATCGGAGGTGGAGCTGAACTGGAGGTGAACTGGAGGGTATGGTGGAGGTGAGGCAGAGTTGGTATGGATATGACAGAGGGTATGGGAGTTAGGGGTGCTGCAGGGTTGAAAGTAATCATGAATGGTTCATTTTTTTCTGGTCAATTGTGGTCTTTCTGATCATTTCCTTGACTCTTTTCTTCACAGTGTGTTGCTTGGCCACATGGAGATGCTGGGTCTGTTCCGCTGGGGTACCATTGATTTTGGCTCTGGCATAATGCACCTTGTTCCCTGCTATTGCACCACATTGGTTTATTAGATGTGACAGAGTCTTTTGAGCCTGAGAAAAGCACTCAGAGAATGGGATTTTGGAGGGGGTCTGAAGGTGCCATTAAAGTGTTCATGTTCATCCAAGTCATCATTGTCAGACTGATTCCCATCACTGTCACTTTCCAGCTCAATATTGAAATCACCAGTGTCCGAGCCATTGCATGCTGTGCTATCATCCATTGTTGAATGCTGCATACACCCATACTGTGATTCACAAACAGAGGTGAGATGTGTTCTCTAAGCAAAAAAACCTCAATTAATCCAGGAAAAATGCTCTGTTGGCTAAGTAGCACTTCACCTTCTTGGAGTACTCTCCAAGGTTGTTTGCATGACAGCACTTCCTGTGTACAGGCATCAACAGACTTTGGAGGGAAAAGGGTACAAACACTATGGTTTCCTTTTTTGGTGTCCAGCAAACCCCATAATTCAGTTTACCATGAACCATGCTGGCAAATGTTGAAGCCAGGTCATTTTTTTTATCATGCAATTGGGGTCGGAGTGGGGAAGGAATGTTGAATCCAACATTACGATGTATATTACGATTTATTTGGTGACAAGGACAAATATTAACATTTGGACACCAAGAAGTTATGAAAACAAGTTACTTTTACAGCTTCCAGGTCTTATGTTAACCTCAAAAGTGTTGAGGCAGGAATGAATCAGGAAGCGAGTTTGGCAACACTTTGCTTCCAGAGAGTGTGTCATGACCCAGCATGTCCATCACTTCCATCAATGCATCCTAGTGCCACTTGGCCCATCCCACCTGCTATCATCATCATCCATCCATCCATCCATCCACCCATCACCCTCATCTGCACTTCCTCCCCCATGCGCATACCTTCCAACCAAGGTTGCCCACTCGAGTGGTTCATTGTTGTCTGCCTGCCAGCTGGACGGCTTGCTAGATGGCTGGATGGCCTTTTCTCTTTTGTTCGCTTGTGGACTATTGTTCCTCCTTTGCCACTTGTTGTTCTTGCTCACCTTTTGTTGACCAAGTTTGCCAATATTAACTATTTGTCTATTTCTTCATTCATTAATATCATGCTTGATCCGCCACTCCTTCCAGGCCAGTCCATTTAGTTACTTGTGCTTATAATGCGTGTAGGTTACACCAGATGTACCTTAGTTTGTATATCGACTTGGATTTCCCCCCCTAGTCTCTTCTTTACATCGTAAGGCTTCTGTCTGAAATTGGGACAACAACATAAGAATAAGCGCAGCGCTCCACCCGAGTCGCTGAAGCTGAAGTCCCACCCCTCCGACCTTATGAGCCCAGATGACTTCATGCACCTTGTGGATCATCTGGATACATGTCCAACATGTTCCTGACAGAGTGACGACTTATGAACATCATCTATCTTACTAATGGCAGTAGTGGATACTTCATGCTACCAAACAATGGTGAGGATCAGAAAGGTTCAATAGGATAGATCTGGATGCTCACTGATGTCTGTTAGGAATACCAAGCACTCCGACCCCCACCAACTACCATCAAAGTGTGGGCAGGCCTATGTACATTCAGAACTCCCTGATGACCTCTGGTCAGTCGATCTATATTCATGATATTACAAGTCTACTAACCCATAAATATTGCACTCTCAGGTGCACCATCTCAGGCCCAGAGCTTTGGATATGAGGTGTCATCATTCCATTCTGTAGACCAGGGTCTTACCAATGCTCATGGCCAGGATGTGGTTCCAGCGCACTATGCTGCTCACCATGGTCCTTCACACTCCAAGGAATTGTTGGTGGAGTTGATCGAAACCCTGGTTCAACAGAAGGTTGAAGAAACTCTGGCCCAGCACTTAGACAAGACGAATGAGAAGGTGGAGGAAGGGGCTGTGGATAATGGCACTCACCAAAACAAAACAAGAAAGGGTAAATGGCCACCAAAGGGACAAGTAAGTTGATTACAGAGTTGCATAAGAACTCACTGAACCAGGCTGCTCACCTCTTAGGAAATGGTTCACCAATTGCTGTGTGATGTAATTGGCTGTAGTGTGATGAAGCCCAAGGCAGCAGACCTGCCCTCACTTTCATCATCGACTACCCCATGGCCATGCAGAGAAGATGGAATGCCAATCTTGATCCCAAAGTGGCTGTCAGGACCCAAGACAGCAGAGAACCTTAAAGTGTTGGAAGAGGTGGTCAGTGTTAGAGACCAGATCAAGACGAAGGATTTGTCTCCATGGCAGAGGGCTTCGGCCTCAGTGACTCAAGCCAGGAGCGCTGTGCCAAGTTACACATCTGTGCCCTAATTGACTTACTGGCAATGAGAACTAAAGGGGGATCAATTCTAGTCGATTTTATCACTGAGGTGTAACCTATGTACAAGTTAAGTATATATAGTTACAGTGAGAGTGGGCCTGTGAATGGTGGGGCCGAGTGAAGCAGAGCTAACAGAGTTAAGCATTAGCCGACTGAATATTACTGACAAGTTAGGTTACAGGGTTTAGCGGAATGGCAGGTGATAACCCAGAAATGGAAAGGAGGGATAAACCCGAAGGTGGGCTTGCAGGGCAAGCAAGTGAATTGCCCAGCAGAGGTGGGAGTGTGCTAGCAGATGTCGGAGCTGTCCAGAAGCCTTCAGGGCTCCTGTCATATCCATACAATCCCGACCTCCGTTCCAGGCTCCCAGAACTCCGAACCTGACTTCCAGAGTCCTGCTTCCCTTCTGCCACCTCCTCCTTGCCGACTTCCAAGAGGTTATCCTGTTAGATACTGATCTGGGGTCGGGCACCGAAGGTCGCCGATACGGGCCGCTACTGGCCGCGATGGCCGTGATGCCGTAGACAAGGCCCGAGGGTAGGGCATTTGGCCTCAGCAACTCTAAAGGGAGTGCTGTGCCCCCTAGCTGTCTCTTGGCCCTCATTTCGGACTCACTGGGGTTGCCTTGTTGGGGTCAGGACTTAGGGGTCGTGGTCACATCGATATTAGAGCTAAGGTACTATAATGTAGTATACAGGATATATATATGAAGGTGGAATGAATAGAAGCGGACCCGGGCCGAAGGCCGAAGGGTCCGGAAGCAAATAGGAACAAAGAGCGGGGTTGGCCGCACCGCAGCCGGCAATGACCGAGGGTCAAAACAAACAATAACAGATAAATAAACGAAGGGGTGTAGGGCCGCGATAGCGGCGATGGTATCATAGCGGAGTAGGCGATGTCGCGGAGTCACGCTAGGTCGGTACCAGAGGCGGACTCGGGGCAGGGAGGTCGGTGTGGCTGTGGGGGAGTCGGCCAAGTGTAGGGGAGCCTAGGGGCAAGTGGGGGAGTGAGCAGGGAACCCTCAGGGAGGATAGGGCTGAGGTTGGGGCTCGCGCTCACGCTCGCATAGCGAGAACGGGCTCGGGCAGCATCGGGACAGGCGGCTAACGGGCCGGAATGCATGGCCGTGACATATCCCACCTCCGGCTCCAACACCACCTTCAGTCCGACTCCGGAACATTCCGGATCTGACCTCATCCTCGACACCTTCCAGACGAGCATGCAACACCTATGTTCCCAACTCCAGACCTCTGCTCCGGAATCCTGTTTGCATCTCCGTCTCCGGAACCTCCGGTCTTAGCTCCGACCTCGGACTTTGACCCCACCTCCGCTTATACCCATTGTATTGGTTAGCTCATTCCATTTAATTACGTTTGCCAATATTCTGGAGTTTAACCTCCGAATTTGGACTTTCCGGACTTACTCTGGACCTTGCAACTATTGCATTGTCCATTTCAATTCTGCTATTCTCCCTCATTCCTATTTGGGCTGCTGCTTCCTTTCTATTCAGTCAGCTAGCCATTCCCCACTCCCAACCTCCTTCCTTCCTCCTTGGGCCTTGGCCCTTCATTCCTCCTTTGAGAAACACCATTGAGTCAAACCCTTGACCCTCGGTGTTGTTCCTCTTTCCATCTCCCTTTGTCTCCTTTCGTCCTACCCTCGCTCCTTTTGATTCCGGACCCCTCCTTATATACAATGTACATAGTAACTTGTAACCTCAGTCCGAAATCGACTTGAATTCCCCCAAGAGACTTTCCCTCTGCTAGATCCAAAATTAGGGACCCCCAGGACAACCAGCAATGGCACAGCGCTCCGCCTGAGTCGCTGAGGCCGAGGTCCTTCCATGCTAAGTCTCCGATTCCACTCCGGAGTCGTCCAAATCCGCAAGTTCTAACAGCTCCGTACTTAGGGAGGCATAGGTAATATATTGAAAAGAGGGGGTGGTGACCATCGAGGGAAGTGGAGGTGATTGCGGAATACAGGAGCTCCGAGGTTAGTGAAGAAGGAGCGGAGGTGTTCCAGAAGGATTGGAGGCAGTGGAAGTTGATGGCCATGGATGGATATGACAGTCAGGGTAAGCCTACAAAAAGAGGTGTGTATATCAGTTTAACAAAGTGTGAGGTGTCCTTATGTGAGCCTCGCAATAGATGATCAAAGCAGCCATTAAAGAAGGGAAAATCAATGAGAAGGACATCTTCAACATGGTACTGCAACACTTCACATACCTCAAGTCCCTGTGGAGTAGGTCTCAAACTCCCAAGGGACGTGAAACTTTGGCGAACACACAAGTGTGAAATGCAGTGATAGCACAACTAAAATCAGTATGTGATGCTACTCCAGGTGTTTGGCTGTTAGATGCTAATATAATGCCAGTGTACCAGAAAGCATCAAGGAGACATGATGGCATCAGTACTAGTGGACTAGAAAATAAAGTGACTGCAACAAAAGCACAGATGGAAACCATCATACTGATGGATTACATGTCATCTGACATTGAGACAGAGATTGATACTGAACCCAAAGACTCTGGGGATACAAACTGCCTGGTCCATAGACAGAATGAGTGGAGAAGCGCAAAGGTTAGTTATAGTGCTGCTTAGCAATGGATAGGGAACAACTGTCATATCCATACAACTCCAGACCTCCATCTCCTCCTCCAGAACTCCACATTCTCCACCTCCACCTCTCCCTGTTGGTTGTTGAGAGCCCACTCTACCTCTGGCTCCAACACAATGTCCAACACTACCTCCAGTCTGACTCTGGGTCTGATCCCAACCTCGTACCTTCCAGACCAGAGCTTGTGATGCTCCACACCTCTGGCTCTGGACTCCTGTACCAGAACCCCATCGCACCTCCACCTCTGGACTTTGGCCTCCTCTGTCAGAACCGTGCGAATCTTCGCCGAGGGTAGCCGTAGGCGACCGAGCGTTGCCCGCTAGTGGTAAAGGCGTCCTACACCTGACCGAGCTTTAGCGAGGAATAAACCCCACCGATCTCGAGGCCGAGGCTACTTAGGCGAGTGAGCCGGGATTTCGGCTTCAACGACTCTAGGAGGAGCGTTGCGCCTCGTTCTCAACGCGGTCCCGATACTTAGAAGGTCAGAGGTCTCGCGGGGACAGAGGTAAGCTCTAGGGGGTAATTCTAGTTGATTTCGAACTACAGTACAAGCATTAGTTACAAGCTGTATATAAGCGCTAGGAAACTGAATAGGGAATAAGTTGCCAGATCTCGCGGAGATTGCGGGCGGAGAAAAGAAGGAGGGAAAACAAACAAATAGCACGTGTTCAAGACAACGAAGGTCAAGCGTGACCTTCACCACGAGGTAACAAGGTGCGGCGAAACATGGAACAACAGGTCGCGGCGCTCTGCGCCGCTAGGTCGTTCAACGACAATCAAGAGAGGGGTTGTGGAGAGGTGGCGGGAAGTGGTTAGACGGCGACGGGCGGCGAGCGGAGTGTGCGGGGAGTGTTCGGGCGTGGGAGAGGGTCAGGGAGGAGGTCGTCTGGCCCCGGGGAACGCCGGGTCGTGACATCCTCCTCCATCTTATCTCCTTGTATTCCTTATTGCATTTCATTTATTACATCTAGCCAATATTCTGGACTTTGACTTCTGACTCCAGACCTCCAGAACTTACTCTGGACCCTGCAGTCTCTACTGTATGGTGTCATTTAATCCTCTTGTTGCTTCCTCCTTATTTAGATGGCTGCTTCCTTTCCACATTAGTCAGCTGTCATTCCCCACAATCCACTTGTCAGGTCATGGTCCATGTATGTAGGGGGTCATGTGACCCAGGGAGGTCACTATCGTCCTACCCACTGTGAATCATACATATTTGATACTCACAGCTGGGTTCTAGGACACCCACCTTACACCACTCCACTCCTTCCCCTCTTGGCCTTGCCCTTTTGGGAAGCACCATAGAGTTCCAACCCTTGACCCTTGGGGTTGTTCCCTCATCCAGTTCCCTTTGTCCTCTGACTCCACTCCTGTATTATTATATGTATATACACTCTGTACATAGTTTCCTGTACCCTTAGTCTGAAATTGATGACTAGAGAACCAGAATCGACTGGATTGCCCCCCCAAGAGATTCCCCCTGCTAACCTGAAATTAAGGACCACCTTAGACAACAAAGCAATGGCACAGCGCTCCACTTGAGTCGCTGAGGCCAAGGTCCCTCCTTACTGAGTCCCTTCTCCACTTCTGGACAATTATGCATGCTCTATAACAACAACACTGACTGGTGATGCAAGTTTTTTATGCTGCTGATCATCACCAGAAAGAGGCAATGGGAGCACAGGCATGCATTAAGAACCTGACAATGCATGCTGTTGTGGGGACAAGTCTGTGCAGGTTAAAACAAGCCTCATTGCACACTTCACCCTCTACTGCATCAGGGATTAGGATTGGTGAGTTGAGGTAATAGTAGGAGTTGTAGAGGCTGTGGAGGTGGTTCTGACGAGTCCAAGATCGTTGGATTTGGTGGAGTGGTTGAGGAGATATGACTTTTTCTTTATTTTCCTTACTATTTTCATTCATTCATGCATTGTCAGGGCACATCTTTGGGTTGCTAGCGTAAGTAGTGCAGCACCACATGGCCTGTATCCCCATCAGGTCCTTCTTTTCCGCTTCTAATCTTCTATTTGATCTGGTGAAGGAGTGGAGCTGGATCACCTTATGTAACCAGTTTCCTATGTCCAATAACGATATTAGAGTTTGTGCTGATTTGCTTACTGACCATGTTTTGGTTGCCAAATATATAATTGTTCACTGTCTAAACAACAATAAACACCCCCCAACGATCTCACCTGATGTATAGATCATCTACGGATAAAATTCTATATTGACTTTACTATGATTTCTAGTCAATATTACACCTAGATATACCACTTTTCTGTAGGATGTGATTTTCCTGATAATTTATTGAAAGGAAACTACTAATAAAATAATTCCGCAATAAATGTTACTCAATACAGGAGTGACCAAACTA